ACGTCAATAGGGGTTTTAAGATTAAAAGTATAGGCATAGTAAAAGTCGATGTTTGGCCTTATTTATTACAAATAGTTAGTAGGCTTAGTTTATTCTCTGCCCGAGTTTTTATAGCAGAGATCGCTCGTAGCGAAAAGACCTCAACACGCGTTCACAAAGTTACTAAGTAGTAAATTGTATAATACCAATTACCATTATCCTATCCACCTATCTTTATCAATACTATTCATCTTTGAGAAACACCATCACTTTTTCAATGTTAGTGTAAAAAGAGACGATGTACTATTATTATTATGTTTAGAACCAATAATGTCTTAAAGAAGATTTTACCATTTTTTATATAGAGGTTTTTGCATGTATGTATCTATGAAGAACGCTCAATTAGATATTTTTTTATATAGAGCATTAATGTACAGTGCAAATTAAGAGTCTTTCACAATGAAGGAGAGATTTGAAGGATTTCTCAAAAAAAGTAGCAGCAGATACTCCATATTTATTTATTTATTTTTACACTTCCTGCATTACAGTTTGCACGAGGCGGACTTAATGCCACATGGCATTATCTACCAGTCAACCTTAAGATGGTTCAGTATGGGGCATGGCAGGTGCACATATATTATGTTATAAGAAGAGAAGATATGAAAATATAACATTAATTTGATAATACTATTTGAAAAAGATAAACGAATACATAGATAACTATTAATATATTATACATACGGAATATAATAAATACAATAAAGTTTGGGTGACGATATCATGAGGATATTTCTGCTAGCTGTTTCCTGTACAATTCGCGGACTTTAGCTTTGAACGTGTCACGACTTCCTGACATCCTGATCTCAAGCGGGAGCGCATTCCATAGTAGGATAAACTGGACAGCAAATGAAGAATGAACAAGAGAAGAAGTGTGGATTGGATTCAAGAGTAAATGATTATTAGTGGACCGAAGATCTCTGTCATGGTTGGAGCATAGCGGTTTACGCTGTGAAGTGAGATAAGTGGGAGCTGTAGGATTATTAAGAAGAGAATAAAGGGTAGTCAAGGCGCGCAAGCTACGGCGCTGACGTATAGGTAACCATGACAGCTGGGATCGATAGGCAGACACATGGTCATACTTGCGGAGGTTGAAGATGAATCGAATGCAATTATTGAGAAGTCGATCAAGTTTGTTGAGTAGATCTGCATTCAGGTCGAGATAGCATACATCACCATAATCGATGATTGGAAAGATCAAAGCCTGTACAAGCATTAACTTAGTAGTATGTGGAAGAAAGTTTTTTAGCCGATACAGTGATCGCAAGGTTCCAGTGACTTTTTGACTTACGTTTGCAACCTGCTGTTGCCAAGTGAGGCTGGAGTCAATCCATAAGCCAAGATCTTTGACAAATGGACTGATCGGTATGTCAGATCCGTTGTAAACGATCGCCGGCAGGTTTGATGTGTTTAATCTGCTCATCATTCTGGGGCTACCTATAATTATGGACTGACACTTGGAGGGATTCACACTTACGCCGAAACGCTCAGACCAGTTTTTGATTGCTACTAAATCACTGTTAATGTTTTGAATTGCTGCCACTATATTATCGAGGCTGGTCTGTGCGTAGATTTCCATATTCATTATGTAATATTAATACTGAATAGTCAGTAGGACATTACAAAAGCCATACTTTGGCACATGTGTCGAATCTCGACCGGAGTGATACGGCATCACAGAAAACCGGTGTCAAGTTGTTCTTTTATCACATTTCACAACGACGGGGGATCAGAGGTGTTCGAACCATTGTGTTGAGAGGATTAGTCAGCCTAGACACTGCGTTACCGTGTCTAGCTGCTTCCAGATATGCCGCGGGGAGGCTCCTTCATGCACCCAGCTGAATAAGTGAGGTTACCGGCTCAAACCCGCCTCCTTCTGATTCTGGGTAAAAAGGTGGTAACGCACTTATAGCTCTTGAGTTGTAGCTGTCCATGGACCGTGATTGTCACTTACCAACCAGTGACCTGTATGCTATTATAGTTGACCCACATACAATAAAAAAAGATAGGGAGGTGGGTAAAAATGAAAGATATGTTAAAATCGTTCACAACGTTTTATTGCACCGTAACATTTGTATAACGATCACCTCAATTAACTTACGTGTAGTGTCACACAGCAATATTCACATTTGGCCACTAAGAATATTTCAAATAATCTACAGTACTCTTTCATTTAAAATGAAATTGAAGCAATGAAACGAGATTTGCTTTTAAAATGACGCTTTGTACACAATTAAATCACACTTAACAAATAACCTTTTTGTGATAAAGTCTTACATAATACTCGTAGTAATTAAGAATAAGTAATTAGTTACTAATTATAGTTATTCTCAAATGGTATATTGATTTATTTAAAATTATGAGCGTACAATAAATTATTTATTACACTTTTCAGAACCAATTTCATATTCCATGTCACGTGTATTACTGAACATGTAGATAAACTTTATTTATTTTCCAGTGAAATTCAACAGTTACAAATTTAAAAGTTGTGAATATATTATAATTGTAACAAAATACCTCCTGTAGGTATTATTTTTTCGTCAGTTTTTATAAAAAAAAATGATTTAGTGAAAATAATGTAAAATGTTCCGGCAGTAAAGAGTTCGAGATTTCGGAAGAGATAAATTAGCTCTTCGAGAGTCTGAGACTTGGCAAAAAAAAGGAATGCAAGGACGACAAAGATGTGCAAAATTAACCTCCGCCATGACAATCGATGATCTTATTAGCTGTAAAATAGTGTTGACTGGCTACAGGACTAAATTGTCGTAGATAGCTAAAGAGAGTTGTCTGAGCATCCTCTTAAACTAGTTTCCAGTAACTTAAAAATGACTGTCAAAATAAACAGGTAGATTTCTGATAACCAGAATGTTTAGTGTTGTCAAGACTTTTTGAAACCTGTCAAGGACAATTACCCTTCTTTGTAATTCTAGAGTCTCCGATGTTGGAACTTGGTATCAATATTATCCGGAATTTAATGTGTAGTCAAATAAATAAAACGACAAAAGACGAAAGCAAAGAAATTGGAAGTGAAAAAATCAGGTTAAGCAGTACAAAAGTAGTTCAAAAGAAATGAGACAAAATGGCACGTGACTTTTGTAATTCAACGTATCAGCTTATGCCGTTCAGATTGTAAGGCAAGTCTCAAAGGCTTCTTTTAGTTTCAATAAGGTTTTTTATATAACGATGCAAACAGATAAGAGTTACGGGTTTCTGAAGAACATAGTAGATATAAGTATAAATATGACAAAGTGCATTCAACTGGAAAGCGTGATATAGTGGGCTAAAACCTCCTTTCTAATGAGAGGCTTATGTCCAGCAGTCGACTATTAATTGTTGCTGTTGATGATGATGATGATTCAACTTAAGACAAAGACAACAACTAAGTCTTCTATTTAAAACTCTAAGTCAGGTGAATGGAGCTAGAAAGTTGACGTGATCGTATCGCCTATAACCCTATAACATTCAATCATTTATTGTTCAAGTCCTGTTAAAAATTAACTCACCTTCAAGATTGTTGGTCAGACAAAAAGATAATGCCTGACTAAGCGGTCTTAATAACCCTACCTATCCAAAAAACACAAATCAAATTAAATAACGTCTTCTATGTAAACGTAACCATTTCAAGAAATATATTTAAAATCATTTTGAACAAACACTAATATTTTAGATTACGATTAAAATGCATTAAGTCCTCACATGTACGCACACTGCTTGCTACAAGCGCTATTTAAAACTTTTCAAACATATTCCATAATTAAATTGATATTATAAACTAATGACAATCCTATTATAATAGATTTGCATTCACTCCAAACATATATAAATCTTTACAAAATAGTCTAACAGTTATAAAATGCAACACATTGTAAATAGATTTTGTTTCAAGTCATCTGATCTGATACAAGGTCTACTGAAGAAATTTCTATAAACAACGACGTAGGAAGCACATAGGGTAACAAGCACAACACAGAGTAAGTTTCTAAATCTAGGCTAACTGTGTAACAAGCCCATACATTCATACGTCACATACAGACGTCTCTAATCAAATCAATTGTATTAGTAAAGAAAAAATGTAATAGATTATGGCAATACACAAAGAAAACTTCATATTTTAAAGTATTAAAAACTAAATTACATTAATAAGCTGAGTCAAGGATCTAAACATTTAACTACAAGATAGTAGAAATGTCAGTAGAAAAGTGTAAAAGTACCCTGAAATAAATTAATTACACGAATATAATTTAAAGCTTACTTTGTTAAGAGATACTGTTTTAGTGAATATAACATAACTATAACAAGTAAGTCATAAAATATTATTTCTACTATACCAAAAGTCTCACAGGCAATAACACTAATAAAGTTAGTTAGAAGTCACAACGCTATATTTGATCATTATTGCAGAAACACTTATTTTCAGATTTAATGAAATTACACGGCTATATAATTTTAAGTACTAGTTTCTTAACAACAACAAAAGCTTAAAAACAGTGCTGTGACTTTTAAATTCTTATTTTTGCGCAATAACCATTACATGTAATATCTTACGGATTTTCGACCATAAAAACAAACACATTATTGAAGATCTAGAAAATTTTAATTGTATTATAATAATTTCATAATGCAGGAGGGCTAAAATTCAACGTAGGTATACTCTTATAAGGTCCCTCATAGGAGATAGATCCATATCTGCAAAAATAGCTAAGAAGCTTGTCTTTTGTTTCTTTAAAATAAATCAATTCAAGAATCCTCTATGGACGTAGTTTCTGGAACGATCGGGACGTTTGGAATTGTCAATCAAAAGATAAATGCCAAAACAATGTTACTAAATGACATGAACAGGAAGATATACCGTAACCTATGATTTCTATGAATTGATTTTAAATTAATTTATCTAAAAATAATCCTCGTCAGGTAAATATTAGTAATTATTAAGAAATTTCATGTGCATTTAATTAATGCCACTAAGCAACCACGCAGCGATTTTCACTTGAGCTTGATCCACCACCCGCTGAAGAATCAGGAGGTGGTTCTGAACTTCGTCCTCCACCACTCCATTCTAAAGCGTCAATCATCTCCATTAGTTCCTTAAATACAGCTATCACTCGCCAATTATATTTTGCAGAACATTCTACATATCCACACTTCCAGTGTTTCCGTACTAAATTGACAATATTTCTTCTTTTTTCCCTTGAGTCTCCGCAAGCACTTTCAGCTATAGCTAGTTGTTGTAATCCACTTGCTGCCGATGGAGTATTACTACAAAGTAGATCCTGTTTATTGCCAACAACTAACACTGGAACATTTCTCATGTCCCGGCTTTCGACCATTTGATCTCTCAAAGTTCGTATGTACTGAAAAGTTTCAACGTTAGACAAATCGAACACAAGAATGTAAGCTGTAGCGCTTCTGAGTCCATAAAACCTGTAGTGAGCCCATTCGTAGTACGAATTTATTGGAAAGTATGGTATTACCGGTACATCCGTGATTTTGACTTCATATAAATGCTCATTGATGATGACTGAAGGGTAGAAAGTATGTTTTCGATCTGTAGGTATGTACTCTTCCGAAAAGTCACTCCAAACGAATTGCTGCAAAAAAAAATGACCATATTAAAACTTGTTACTCAAAATGATTAAGACGGCTTTGGGATTTAACTCATTTAACAACGATCTGGTCAGTTTTATCGGACAACCTATTTAATTGTTGTGTACTGTTAGCCATCTAGTATATTTGGCTTTTATCTTTAGGTACTGTATAGTTGGCTAAACGTTTAACTTTAAACAACATTAAATAAAATATAAAATTCATTGTCTAACTAAAATATTATTTAATATTCTCTCTTTATTTAAAACATTTACAGTGTCTTTACAGGATTCTTCTCCCAAAACGATACTGTAAGTAAAAGTGGTAAGTTACAATTATTTTAGAACAAAAATCATTTGCTGTAAACTTGAACTTTGAACTTTTGGCCAACTTCTTTGAAGTTCAGGAAGCTACAGTTACAGATATCTGGTGCAGCTGACCGTGCACACGCCAGACGTATGTCACCAGCGCCACGTCGCGCCGCACGTACAGGCGCATGTCCCCGACCATGACAAAACCTCCTTTCTAAGGAGAGGCTTATGTCCAGCAGTGGACTATTAAAAGCTGTTGATGATGATGATGAAGGCTTATGGGAATATTCTCTAGTCCCATATTCCAATAGGATAATTGGAATATGGGACTATGGAAATATCTGTTTTTTTACAACAATACTATCATCAGCTGAAAGTTTATTTTCCAAAGATTATGTAAATTGAAGTAGTTTATTGCCTTATAAACGCTTGACCGTTCACTGGCAATATATTATACATTCATAGAAATTTCAACTCTATGACTGCATAACATATTCATGGAATATTGGATGAGTAGTGTAAACACATCTTGCAAATGGCGTATTGCATAAGTTAGTTTTTGATTACGTACTGAGGGCGAAAACTGGAAAATAAATTTTCAGTATTTAAAATGTAGAGCCTCATTCTATCATTTTTTGTCATGTTAATATAATTTATGTGTTTTCTGAGAACATGTTTTCTTTTATTATACTATTCTGAACTGAGTTTATTGTTGTTACAAAAACACGTTTATGTTGACATTAATTGTTAATACTAAATAATAACATTTTCTTACTTTTTGTAGTCTAGTCGTTGCCAACACCAGTTTATCTTTATTTCTAGTGTTTATATTAATAATGTGGCTAAACTTTGTGTATAAATGAATATTTTTCTTAACATACACTAAATTTCAATATACATATTGAGATGCGACTGTCATAGTACCAATTTCTTTAAATTTATCCCTCAGTACTGCCTCTAACTGGAATTATAAATTGCGCGAATAACTCTCTTTTGCAACACAAAGATACTCTGCATGTCAGCAGCATTTCCCTACAACAAAATACGGTATGACATTACACTATGAAAATAGCTAAAATTTAATAGTCTAGCTGTTTCTACATCGGTTAATTGATGAATTTTATAAACCGCATATGCAGCAGAGCTGAGTCTATTCGACAATCCATCAATGTGTAGGCAACACTGCTTTATTTAGAGTCTAGAGTTATACCCAAAACTTAGTTGTGTCCACAAGTCTCTTTTGCAATGTAAGCGCAAAAAAAACATGTTTTTATCACAAATGTTTGAAATTATCGGATTTTCTCTACTATAATATGCATAGAAACCTTCCTCTTGAATCACTCTCTCTATTGGTGAACAGTATTAAAATCCGTTACTTAGTTTAAAAGATCTAATCAAGTGCGTGCGTACTATAGCATAAAAAGTGTCGGAAATGAATCTTGTTATACATTTTTCGGTCTTGCTCCCATCCGCTCAGAACGTGTGATGGGCGATAAGGAACTTCGTTCCAATAAAATATCTGTTGGAACCAACAAATCGTATACAGGTTTTTTTAGGATGTAGTAGATTTGGGACTCTTTTTATTTACTTTTATTAAAACATATTTAACATAATAATGTATAAAAATTACGTCTAAAACAAATTGTACCCCCAGATAAGATAACGTTATAGTTCATTTAAAAACTATGAAATTATCTAAATGTGTCTTTTTTATTAAAAATATACAATATTTAATATTGTGTAATGTATGACGCACTTCTAAGGTATAAAGCAATATAATGCCATTTTCCATGTTCTGTCGTTTCACACCTGCGCTTTAGATAGTTAACGATCTCTCTTCCATATAATATGAGTGATATTACCCAACCCAATTTGGTGGGCCCCTAGAGCTACATCAAACGTCAAGGTAATTGTACGCTTAACGCTTATGAAGGTTGACACTGTGATACGATCGTAATATCTTCAGCTGTTGTGAAAGCGTGTTGAACAAGATAAATTGTGTTTCACAACCTAAACTTAAATATTATAAAGTTACTTTTCGTCTTAAACATTTTGAAAATTGAATAATTCTACAAGCATTTATCTTCTGGGTTCGAGTAACATGATTAAAATTAACACTATCCTATGGGATTCAAACTCGCAACGTGGGAAGACGTTGGTTATAATGCTACCGCCGCGTCGCCGTTTTAATGTTCAATATTATATAATAGTTAATATTATACCATTACAATGCAATAATGAAGCTGCATGCAATATGATTTGTTTTGTTTTTTTTTATACAATTCTACTGATCCTTTCAATGTTGTGGATTAAGAATACGCAGTGTCACCGACCCTATTTATCCCATAGGTGTTGTAAGAGCCGACTAAGGGAGCAAACTCTGCAGGACAACAGCACAGCAAAGAGAAGGAAAACTTGACATAAACCCTGTATCAACCCGTCTGGCCAGCGTTGTATAGTAGGCCAAAACCTCCTTCCTGAGAATAGGCCTATGTCTAGCAGTGGCCTATAAAAGGCTGTTGATGTGATGATGTGAGTAGCTCTTATTTGCTATGGTATTTATAATTTTAGCTAAGTAATACTAAAACTTATGTTACTTGTTTGTTCACTGAGAGTAGTAGAGAGTCCAAAACTTGCTGTCATAATTGTGGGTGACTAGTTAATTACTTACTGAACATAGTGCATACGCATTTAAAATTTGTTATTAACGTAAATAGCATGTTGTCACTAACTACTGCATAAGCCTCTAATTTCTTCGTTATTCCACACTTTTAAAATGATCTAATTACGTAGAAACCAGTAAAGCGGCAGCTAAGAAATGTTCTGTAAGAAGTCAAAACTATTCTTACAAACTTCCGTGATACATGAAAAATATAAAAGAAACTGTGAAGTTGAGGCCATAGCGCGTTTCTCGCATTAAAATTCTTATTTTAATTTTAAATTATTGTTTGTTCATAAGTATAGATTAATTTCATTTATGAAGTTACCTTTTATAAGTAATTGACTACTTAAATTTTGTCTACAATCTTCCCGTATTTTATTTGGATTAAAACTTTAGCGCAAATTAACACTATTCAAATAATACCGCTGCTGAGTATTTCTAGGGTTGAAAATATTTCCCAGTTGGGCAATACAAAATTTAATGCGGCACTAAAATTTGATGCTCAACCTTAATAAGTATTTACTATAAATTGGTACAAAACACAGTTGTTCAGGTGCAGTGGGCACATAAATAATATGTTATTCTTGTTAAAATTTAAAAGTATTGTTGAAATTACTAATGTTATGCAATGTGTACCTAGTAAATAAAGTAAATGCGTTAGTGTATCAGTGTGGCTGTATGTTGGCGTATGTATAATACACGCCAAATGTTATCTGTTTGGTTAAAGATTTCAACATTTATTTATTGATTAATAAAGCTTTTTATTTCTTTTGAACAATTGTAACGTAAGTGTCTTTAATGGCAAATCAGAATTTTATAAGCAAATATAATTTTATGATTTCTATATAACGATACACAGCTCTTATTCAAATAACACGCGTCAACTTTAACGCATGAGATACCCTGGCAATATCGAATGCGATCAGAAGCTAATAACTTGTCAATCTGGATATATTTTATGTCACTGACATACATAATATGTTTTGATAAAGTACTGAGAAATCGTACCTTCGTAAATAACATCTAAATTACTAATGTGAAGCTTTAATTTATGAGTTTCTAAAATCAAATGAAATCATAGAATTTTTCAGAACTGTCTGCAAAACTCCATTTTCAAGAGAAGTATCTATAAAGGAGACATTTTTGAATAAAATGATTACCTGTACAGTAAAAAATTTGTAGTCAATAACATTTTCCTAGCATCCATTTTCAAAGCCTGCCTTCTTTGTATGTGCTATATGTATTTTGAATACAGGGCTGCCCGCTTGAATTTATCATGCATAAATATTGCAATTCATTGCAATCGTTGCTATTGATTGAGTGACAGAATCTAGTTCTAAATTTATTTATATACATGTGTTTAAGTTTATTCATATGCAGTGTTATTTTAGTTGTAAAGCTTAGGTTAATGTACAAGTTTTGTTATTCATCATCAACTTCGTTTAATAGTCTACTGTTGGACATAGGCCCCTCCTTAGAAAGGTAGTTTTGGCAAACTATATCAAGCTGGCCAGACGGGTTGGTATAGGGTTTATGTCAACTTTTCCTTCTCTTTACGGTGCTGTTGTCCTGTGTAGTTTGCTCCCTTAGTGATCTTCGTATATAACTCTTACGACACCCACGGCATGAAAAGGGGTGGTGACACTCCGTATTATTATTATATTAATGCCTCACTATAGTTTTGTGAACAATCAGCTAAATTTTAAAATATCATAGAGTTTTTGGGTTACTACGAAATACTTTCAAAACATTCAGTATGGGAAAGCATGTGTAGTTTCATTACCTGTATGATACTAGTCTTCCCAACAGCTGGCGCTCCCAGAAGCACCACTTTGACAAGGTCGAGACTGTCAGGACTTGGCTCCAAGCTCGGAGCGCCTCCCACCGACAGGGTTCCACCTCCACCTCGCTCCAGGTAATCCAGGTCCAACTCTACGACAAAGAAGAAGAAATATTAGAAAACGCCTTTTATTTCTTGGAGCAGTTAACCACCGTGTTAAGATTTTAAAAATATGTACAAAATTATAAGAACACTAATATTTCTTATGCACATAACGAAACACGGCAACGGATTAGATATCAGATATTATTTTTATTTGTTATCTCAGTTATGCTTCTTTTTAAGAGCCTAACTTCCTAATTAAAAATCAATGTGCCAATAATTTAAAATTAAAGCAGAGGTACTGTAGTTTGGCCATATCTGTGGTACCTTAAGGAAGTATATATGAAAATCTTATAGGTTTTATTTGAAGCTGTAACAGACTAAGGGGATAAACGTAATACAATACAAAAAATATGATCACAATAAATTGTTTTGTTTAAATTATTAATTTTTGGAAATCGCTCGAATATACTAAAAATGAGTTATTCAATTTTTGATGTTTTTTAATTTGAATCTATTGTGGTTGTTGGATTGAAATATATCCTATTACTGGCAAAAAGTATTGGAATTCAAATGAGCCCGGGGAACTCAACAGTAGGTACTTAGTTGTAAAACAAATTTTAATACATGTACGATATCATGCCTTTGCGTGATCAACTTTACGAGATTTTACTATAAAACCAACCAAATCCTGACATTCGTCAAGAGGTTTTTAAGATTAAATTTTAATCAAAGCTTGTGAGCTTACATTTTCTTAAAATAAAAAAGTACTGATCACATTCTCATTACTGATATACAGTGTTATTACTTGAATATCAGTTATTGAAGAATATGTATATGCATTATTCTCAGCATTTGAGACCTTTCTTACCATCTCAAATATATACAGAGTGTTTTATTTCGTTATACAAATATTTAAGCCCTATATTCTGTCCTTAATTTCTAGGCGATTTGCAAAATATGAACAAAATATATCCAGTAGTTTAGCCACAGGACTCATTTTTGTGTTTCGTATTTTACAACACCATATGTTTACGCAAAGCTAAAGTACTAAGTGTCAATGACCTTCCCGCTGTCGCTATACAAACGCTACCGCACAAGTTACGAAATAATAATTAATAAAAAATAAAATAAGAATTTCTTTAAAGTAAAATCAAACATATTGCAACGGCATACGGAAGATAATACTGTGTCTGACAACAAGGTTCTTACACTTGTGTTGGTCAGTGTCGGCGAAAATAAATTAGAAGCATGTAATTGGTTACTGTGTCATCGGATCGCTACCAACCTATTAGCATGTATGCATCGTAATTGCGCGCTTTTTTTTTACATATTGATTATAAACAAAATATGCTAATAAATAAGTATTTTAATATTATTAGGCTGTGTAAATTATATTGTTTATATTAAATGTTTTATTTACAGTACGTAATGATTACTACAGGTAAACTCATTATAATAATGTTTTTTGAGCTTTGACAATTGGCAGCATTGATTTAATTATTTAATATTCGATGACTTCCGGGTTCTAGAAAGTAGAGGGTCAGTTGGTCAGTTGGTGCCGGTGCAAGATTTCGTGTTGTTTTGCAATGAGTCCCGCTGATTTTATTTTGAAAGTATCAATATTAGTTTTGTTGTGGAGTGTGTGTGTGTATGTGTGAAATTAGGTTTCTTACTAGTGTTTTAATTATATTGATTTATCGATATTAACATTCATAATGCCGCGAGTGACCTTTACAGCCGCGGAGTATACTGACATGGTCCTAATTTACGGGAAATGCCATCAAAACGCTTTTTTAGCTTAAAGTGTTTGTCCTACAGACGGTCTAACTTTTGTTGTGGTTGTCAGGAAGCGTTTTAATCACATTTTTGGTGAACAGTGGATAGGACGCTATGGGCCTACACGATGGCTACCTAGATCACTAGATCTCACGCCTTTAGATTGAAAACCTAAAAATTTAAATTAGATTTACATTAATTTGATATACTATTGTATGTATGATGTACTAAACTGGTGTACAATAAAGTTTATTCTATTCTATTTTATTAAATAAAATTTTAAGGAAAGATTGATTTAGTGAATAAAAACAGTTGCGAGCGGTATTCATATTTTAGTAAATTGATAAAGTGATTTTAAATAAAAAGCAAGTGAAGTAACTGATTAGTGATAAGAATGTAATATTCGGCAAATCGACGCGGCACCCGCGCCGTCGCGTCGCCGCGTCGCTAGGCTCGTTTCGTTGTTGGCGCCATTTTTGCATCGCTGCCGTCGCGGCGTCTACAGGTGAGTGACCCGCGTGATCAATGGTGCTCCAATTTGACAATATTTTATTGTATTTATTTTGTTCTAAATTTGCATTTCTGTATTTTATAAAAAAAAAAATTTTTTTTCATTTTAACCTACTTATATTGACCTGTGTAATCCACCATTCAAAGGGTTGTTATAACTCTGGGGCCACGTTTGTCTGTCGACTATAAATTTTACATTGTTCACTGCTCGCTGTACTTTATGGGAGCGGTAATGGTGACAAATTACTTTTAGAACATATTTTTAAATAGTTTATGTTTCAGTTAAATTTCAAGTTATGTAATCATATGGATAGGAGGTATTATCAGCTAACGCCTCTTAAAATAACTGTAATAATGCCTGTTTTTGTCATGAAACCATTAAGAAAATTATAACACTTAGAGCATCTTAGTAAGAAGTATTAGCTAGACTTGAGTGATACCAAGACTTTACAGAAAGTGGGCCAGAATTACGGCAACGCACTTGAACCTGTATGTTCCTTCACCATCTAAAGGTCATAGCTCATTACACCCCACCCGTCAACCGACCAGCCCCACCTGGACCCTCGTTGTCGACGGGTTGTCCAAGGATGGACGCTGCATTGTTAAAAGGACAGAGGAGAGCGCGTGGTCACCTAGTGGCCCGCTCGCAGTCTGCGCGTGGTCATAGTTATCAAATCGAATGATTCACTAGCAAATAATATACTACAAGCTTTACAAATTCATTTTATGAAATAGGTGATGTAGAAAAACATTACCAAAATACGTTTTTCAAACAAAAAATCTAATTAATTAAATGTAAAATATTATTTTTACATTTATTTGAGTAAATTTTTTATTCATTTTATTTTTATGTTACCTATTACATATAAGACGAACAAATTTTAAGAATGAATTAAATTTTACCATAAATGATAAAAACAATGATTTTTGTTTTTGCCATTTTTGCGATGGTTATTTGTTAACAGAAATGGCAAAATGGAATCAAGCCAACTCACATCGTTAAATTCATTTAGAATGGTTTCTCTATAGAAGTAAAAACCTGAAATTATATAAATCGTCGCTCGTTAATTAAGTAAAAGAAACTAGTGGAATTGATTTGGCATTGCCACTCAATAAAAGTTCTAGTTTCCGGGAGTTGTTAGCAGAGATAAGTTTGAATTACACTGCGATTTTGTTTGTAGACAAATCGATCAAGGTGCAGGAAAAGTTCGAGTAACTAAATATCTATATTGAAGTAGTTGTCCATTCAGCAGACACTAACAGATGAGTTTATGCAAATCGACCATTGCGTTTTCTCGTAGGATTTATTCTTAAGAGCGTACTCTTTCCTAAAAGGCTGGCAAAGCGTTTGTGACTCCTGAATTGCCGACGTTCATGGGCGGCGATTATCACTTTCCATCAGATGACCCGTATGTTCGTCTGCCCCCTCTAACAAAAAAAAAGTAATTTTCTTTTTTTAGAACATTTTGTACATTTTTTAAAACAAATTGTATTATATTATAGTTTAATATTATGCTGCTCCATTAGGAGCTGGAGAACCATTTTATCATTAATAAAATAAAACAACTCCCGCATTAGGATTAAATCATGTGTCGCGAGAGACTACAAACATACATGGAATGTACACAAAGGACACCCAGACTCAGAACAGCAAATTGTGGATTACACAAAGTGTTGTCCCATGTGAGGATCGATCCCACAACACTCAGCGCAGTAGTAATCGGCGAGGTGACTGCTTGAACCACTACGCCATTCGTGCAGTCGATTCCAGAGCTTCTGAAGAGATCATGAGATAGAAAAGGATGGCCAGTGACAAAGATGTCCTATCATGACAAAAGGTGTTAAAGTCAATCAAAGCCAGCAATTTTGGTTAAAGTCACAGCCAGCCTGTGACTTTCGTGTCGTCGCTACCTTCCTTAATAACGCCTGTGATTGCGAGGAGAGCGGTGATTGTGCTCTGTGCGATGTGGGATATTGATGGGAGAATGTGATCCAGGATAGTGATAATTAAGTGACAGTCATGTCATCACATCCTACAGCATTGGAACTAATATATAGGATAATCTTTTTGATGAGGGTTTAATCTTGCTATACATATATACACTATGTTGCTCAAGATCTGGTTCTTGGTTTAATGATCCAATTGAGGTGTAGATAAGAAATGATGATTGATATCATCTAAACCAATTGTCGTCTTAAACTCAGGGCGTTGTTGTTTACCTATTCCCAGTCATCCAAGCAACTTTCACACACTCGAATCTGAATAGATTTCTATGTTTTAAATTATGTTTATTTAATAGGTAGTAACTCTTTTTTAATATGTTTTGTATTAATTATTTAGAACATCATCATCATCATCATGAACAGCCTTTAATAGTCCATTGCTGGACATAGGCCTCTCCTTAGAAAGGAGGTTTTAGCCTACTATACCACGCTGGCCAGACCAATTTAGAACATATTTTGTGTGTATTGTCGATGATTAAAATTAACAGATCAAGTTGCATAAAATATGTTAAAATGTTATAATAATTAAGTTAAGTCAAGTAAACAATTAAGTTAAAGAGTACGAAGTACCTTGAGTTACCATTTAGAAGCAAATATTACTTTCCACTTATACCCCGGGGTGGCACCTCGAGGTATCAAGTGGAAATTAACACGCCGGAAAGGGTGGAACTTGCTAATTAAGCATTTATCTAACCTAGTGTAAGATTAAACCCTTCTATACTTAATCACGTGTTTGTACGGCTGTTTCACTGTCTATGTATTTAACACGTATCTATAGTATATAGTCGCACAAAGGAGTGATTTGTCTTAGATAAGAGTTACACCTTTCCTTTTAAGATACAGAACTTAGTTTCATTCTCTTATACACAAAGCTATCATATATTATAAAAATTTAATAATCAATCCATGTCAGATATCGTCTTGGAATGAATATAGTAAAAAACTGACTGTGAACGTAATTTTTTCGCGTGGGTAAATGTTTTATTCTGAAAACCATTAATCACAGATTGTCAGCGTAAACTGCGACGAAACCTGGATATCAAAAACGTAATTAATAATTTACATTGCCAACTCAACAAACAATTTAACAATTCAATAAACTGTTAAGATTAGTCAAGATATAAAAGATCAATATTAAACATTAAATATATTTTGTGTATTTAAGGCGTGGCTATCATATTATAGTGGTTTTTAGACGGGCAAAGGGAAGGTAAGTTCCCCGGTAAGGATAACGAATAGGGCGAGGAAGCTTGAGTTAGCGATTCTCGGACGAAGTCGAATAGACTGAAGTCGTGTACCCGTGTAAACATCAATTGGTAGGATATAATTTACCCAATAAGAGTTTTGTTTTTAACTTTTATAATATTGACTTAACTCTTTGAACTTAAATAAACAACTAGTAGAACTTCAATTTTCAACTTTAGTTTGGCAATTTTATGTTAAAAATATTTTTAACTATTAAAAACATTATTAAATATTATTACTTTCTTATTTTATGTTTACGCTGGCAATCTGTGATTAATTTTGTTTTTTATTATTATTTGTAATACAATGTGTCTTAATTAAAGACTAATTAATAAAAAAAAAAATGGTTTAATACAAAGCATAAAATACATATGTATATAATACGAAGAGGTACTTATACCATAAAAACAAATAATTTAGATTAGTCAATACGTAATTTTTGTTTACGTTTTTAATAAATTTCCTTACATAAAATTAGCAAACACACGGTATATAGGTATTATATTTTAGTTTAAGTAATATGATGCTGCCCCATTAGATAAACGAATATTAGGTGCAATCTGAAAATGGTCCTTTCAAACAAACACAACACTTTTTAGTTTTATTAGTGTATATGTGTCTTAATTAAAGGCAAGTTTAGTTAATTAACTAATAAGAGAAAACTCAATCGACAAGTCTTGAAATATAAGTTATAAAGTGGGTGAACAAACCCTTTTACAGGTGAAATATTATTAATATAAATGTTACAAAAATTAAATATGACATAAGTAAGCAATTTTTAACAAATATTTTAATTATATAATGTTAGAGGTACCTTAACCTTCTTTCTAAATCTTTTCTCTTCTTTTCTTTATTAAAGGCTGTTGATGTGATGTGATGTTAGAGGGTAAAGCAGGTAGTTAGATAGGGCTGTATCCTTAATGAATTTTCCTGTAAAAGTTTCCTACATCCTCGAAGGGTTGTGATAATCTCAAATAACAGTCTCCCAGGTCGTTACCGTGAAACGTGTGTAAGTTCGTTCCGTCAGCTTATTCTAATTAAGTTAACTTCAGGCGTATAACCAAAATTATTTTTAATTTAATATTAATAATATATTGAGGGGATTGAGGGAATTATTAATTCTAACAACGTATATTGTCATCGTTCGTATGCGTGTACATCGTATCAATTCTTTTCAATATTGGTTGAATTAGTTAACTACGAGTATATTCATATATATATGTGTGCATAACCATAAATTGGCGAAAGAACGCGGCTTCATGTTACAAAATAGTTTAGAACATAGATATTGAAAATTGGTATCCAGATTCTTTTATAAACTTACCCAAAGTTTTGTTTTGCTTTGTACAATTTCCTCTGGAATCATGATCGTCTTCTTTACCGTGTTTTAACGTATTTTCTAATCTATTCATTTCAGTATCACTTACAAGTCTATTACACATTCACTTTCATTATCATTTTGCGAACATCTTTCAATGTTTTATTTTTTACTTTAAAATAATTTAGCTGTATTGCAGTCATCGCAGAATACGTTAGTATTTATATCCTACATTCAAAGTTATTATTTTATTCGTTCCTTAAATATGTATCTAAGCTATATTGATAGCTGCGTCCACTATTTGGTAAAAAAAGTCAGTCCACCACTACATTATAGAACATAAATTTAACACAAGCCGACTGGCCCTGAAAATATCGTAAATTTGGCGGCAAAATTCGAGACGAGCGGTACGACCGATCTCCCTTGCGTCTTGGGTTACACTAAATCGAACCACGTTGGCTTAGCCGGAAAACGGCATTGAACGCAGTCATTGTGTAGGTTTTATGTCATCTCGAGGTCCCTTTCAGCCTGTTTTTCTCAGCTCAGTATTTTTTCTACAAACGTTTTGATTTATGCGAAATTTATGTCAATTTGTACCTTTGTTTTGGTTTTGAATATAAGTTTACTTTTATAATACAAACTATTAACTAATCTTGTAACTTAATGATAAAATATTGTTGTTAAAATTATTAGAACTTCAAATAAAATTAAGCCTTCGTTTATTTATTTTCTTTGCTAGAGCGCAAACGTGTGATAAATAAAATATATTCTTTTTATAATATATTTATAATCCACTACTTACGTGCGACCGTCTTTGTTTGCATTTCAACAATAGATAAAAGCAAAGTTAAAACCTTAGTAATCCTATACTTAAAGACATGAAAGGAAATTGTTCACCTCTTCGCTAACACCTTACGAAACATTAAACCGTTTGAAACGGCTTTTCTCAGAAGCTCATTCAAAGTGGGTTTAATATAAAACTTGGTATGACTGCGCAGTATCTGTTAAATTCAAAGCATTGTTGATGATCCGACACTTGTCGGTATTAACGAATGAAGTACCATTTTTAACTGAGTTTAAAAATAAGGAGGTTATCAATTCAGGTATTCATATCTTATATAGATATGATATGTTCGGGCATAACTCAGTCATATGAAAACGGATTATCAAAATTCTTTTTTTGTTCGAAAGGGCTTTATTCCGAAATGGTCCCATTTAAATTTCATATAGATCTGATGATGAGTTTAGGAGACATACAACGGAACTCTTCAATAGATGACAGCAAATCAACCGCGATTGCTGTTAGGTTTTTAGTGCTCTTTGTTAGTATTGTTTGAAGTGGGTTCAACTCCTTTTTAAAAAGGATTATCACACACTAGGACAGGTATTTTATTGAATAAAGATCTTTTACTTGAAATGGGAACGTAGTGTATCAAGCTGGTCTTAAATAAATATAAAAACCAAACTATTAAAACATAGATTTGAAATGTGTGTTTTTCCAATTTTAAAGGCCGACTTTGAAGATTGCTAATTTACTAGCTAAGACATACGATAAATTAAATATATCATGTTTGCATACATAATAAACTACTTTTGAGTCGGATAAGTCTGTATAGAGCAAAGTTAATAATTGAAGAAGCAAAAAGAGCTGTTAGATGTTATGGATTTTATTCAAATACGATTGAAGTTTGAAAATCAAATCTCGGTTATCCTATTATAATAATAAAATTGTAAAAACGGAGCCAATATTTAGGGATTCACCTTGATTCGAGAACTCTAACAAAGGCAAGAAATCTTATTCCATCCAGAAAGGTTCGTTTAACAAGTCAATCCAATGTACCTAATAATTCGCGTTCTCTTAATACTTATTTAAGGTTGAAATTTTAGTCTCCTATGCAACACCGAATCCTTTTAGCTATGTCTTACTTGTGTTCAATATCAACATCATCATAACCTTTAACAGTTCACTGCTTGACAGAGGTCTCTCCGTAAAAAGGAGGTTTTGGTCTACTATACCACGCTAGCCAGACGGGTTGGTTTAGGGTTTGTGTAATTTTTTCCTTCTCAGTGCAGTGCTGCTGTCTTGCGTAGTTTGTTCCCTTAGTTCGCTCTTAACACCCTCACGGGATGAATAGGGGATTGGTAATAGTAACACTTTGTATTCTTAATCCGTCACTATACGGAAGGAATATAAATCATGTCATATAGAAAATATTCAGCTCTTTAAAAACAATTTAGCCTGGCCTAAACATAATTAATTAAATCCTTGAAATATTGTTTTTGCAACTTAGACAAGATAATATAATTAATGAATGTTAATCGATGTTTTCGTTTAATTTCTTTATTGTCTGAAAAAGCTTTTAAATAGATTAGAGGGTATTCGCTAATGTTTTCTTTATTAATGTAGCTAGCTCGAAACATCATTTGCCATTCCCTTTGTATTTCGAAAGTGGAGACAATCTCTATTAAGTAACACACTTAGTAGCAAAAAATACTGGCTCGTAGTTCTCCCTCTACTTTTTGCCATTTACACATATATGTACTTACATTTAGAAGTGTGACTAGTAAATGCGACTCCTTTTATCTTTTTAATTTTCTTAAATTACACTATTCACAAATTATTTACACATTGAATATCGTGAATATTTCCGATCAGAATAAACTAACATGAAATAATATTTTAAAAACTTTCTTTGTATTTAAAAATGATGTTGTTGTTTTCCTGTTTTGATTGAACAGGAAAAACAGATTGATTAATGTCTTATTTTACCCTTGTTTTAACATCGATTATTTTTTTAAACATAAATTAACGAAAACTAAGTTTCAAAAATTTCATTATACAGGTCAGGTCATGGTGGATAGACAGGTCAAGTTAATATAAAAGGTGTAAAATATGGTACACTTTTGAATGATGGAATAAGTGTTTTATGTCTCAAGCAGGCTACGAGTCTTGAACCTTTTAGTTACGATCTACGGACCAAATTTTTAAAAGAATTTATCACAATTGTGTTTTATTTTATGTCCGTGAGCTTTAAGGGTAGAAAGCTTTATGTTCTAGATTACATATTTTTTGAACTGGACAAAGAGCAAATACCTTTGCTGTATATTTTTTGCAGTACGATTGGTGACCCAAATAGTTTCGTTTGTGTCCGTCATAGAAACGTAAATTTTAATTGTCATATGAATTTAACAACGAGAACCAAAAAAAACGATTACATTCTTAAGTAGAGTTGGGTTAAGCAGCTGGCCATAAAAGAAAAAAAGCCAAAACTATATTGCGATGAAATGAAAGACGAAGAAGAAAGAGTGAAAGAGGGTGTATGTGCTAGAGGAAAATGGAAGAAGAAAACTTAAAAAAAAATGATTATAAGATGATCCGAGGAATTTAGAAAGATTAATTCCATAAAGTAAGTTAAATAGAAGTCTTCATTATTATTTTGTCTTTTTTTCCTAATTTATTTTTGGTCGGCGCTTTCTATATTTCTGATAAATGTACAAATATTGTCAACAACACATTAGTTCTTTTGAGTTGTCTGAGTCCATACTAAATACTTAATAGGGGTTAAAATATGAAATTTCCGTTGTATAGTAATAGATACTTTGAATTGACATAAAACCTTCATGATATGAGATATTTGTATGAAACTTTTTTTAATTGATACCTATGAGATTCTTCTTTTAAAAAATGTGCACCGTTATATTTTCAACTTTCATTTGTTTTTTTAATCAGCTTAGATGTGAGAGATGGATATTTCGAAAATTCGAGACATTTTTAATACGAGTTCCGACGCGAAACTAGCGTGGCAGAAACGGGCCGGCCATATCAACGCTACTTTTGGAGAGGAGACTGCTAATGAACGCACCGTGCGTTTTTGGTTTAAACGCTTTTGTAATGGAAACTTCGACTCGTAGAACGAACCACGTGGAAGACCGCCCGCAGAGGTGAATAATAAGAATTTAAGGAGATGGTGGAAGTCGATCTGAGTCAAACCCAGGAATAAGCAGCATGGTTTAACGTTACCCGACCTACAATTTTGACTCATTCCAATCAATACCATAAAAAAATATGAAAAATGGGTGCCTCATGATTCGACTGATCTGCAGAAAGAAATGTGTGTTGAACCTTGTGTTGCCTTGTTTAATCGGTACAGAAATGAAGGAATATGGGCTTGATTTATGACATGTGATAAAAAGTGGATTGTATACGATAACTGTAAGCGAGAAAATGCAATGGCTGACCCCAGGTCAAACGCCGCAACAGTGCCCTAAAGCAAAGGTTACCAATGAAAAGGTAATGGTAACTGTTTGATGGTCTCTTCATGGTATTATTCTCAGGTACGGTCAGGCAATAACAGCAGATGTTTACTGTGCCGAACTTCGAACAATGATGGCGAAACTGGCAGTGAAGCAGCCCCGACTCGTGAATCGATCTTCACCATTATTGCTCTATGATAACTCAAGACCTCACACTGCACGAGAAATCGTTGTAACTCTACAGAAGCTGCAGTTAGAAACCATACATCATTTGCTCAATAGACTTCAATTTTTTTCGTGATTTGGGCTATTTTCTACGTGATAAAATAAATCTTCCCAGGGGGCAGTACAAGATGCTTTCACACAGTTTGTCAAAGAAAGATAGATCCCCGAGTCCTGGACAGACGAGGAGACTGGTCACCTGATGGAAAGTGACTATCGCCGCCCATGAACGTCTGCAAGTCAGGAGTCACAAACACGTTGCCGGCCTATTAGGAAGGAGTAAGCTCTTTTCTTGAAGGTTTAAAGGTCGTATCGGTCCGGAAATACCGCAGACGGTAATTGTACTAGTATTACGTTGGTTAAAGTTAAAACAATGGCAGTAAATTATTTTAATGCAAAGTACCTCCTAACTTATTAAATTAAATATTAGTCATCATTTGTCTGTTATAAATTTAATGTTAGGAAGTAGATAAAAATGGTTTTTATAATAAACGTTTGTGTGGCAAACCACAACTAGATGTTTAACTCGGAACAATAAATTTATCCTACTTTTTCCACTGATGTTCTAAGCTAAATTTTAGCTAAATTCACAATTCTAAACAAAGTTAAGAAGCTAAAGACTTCAACTGACGCTAACCTTTTCAACATCTAGTTCGGCAATATTATCTTCTTAGGCGAATATTCTTAATTTAATTTCTACTTTCCCCCTAAAGCTGACATAAAAAAATTCTGTTCCATCTCGTGCTGCTTAACCCTGTAGTAACAGCCCCTAGATGAAATACAAAAATGTCTAAGTAAAGAACTATTCAGCATTTGGCAGCGTTCCAACTGAGTATCATGTTCGCATAGATCTAATCTGACCTGATTTACTAGAGTTGTTGCATTAGCAGCCATATAGAAGGAAGAAAAACAAGGTCTGACTGTACATTACATACGTATTGAATAGTAGGTACATAGGGAATATTAAACATTAATAAAATTCACCGTTTTGTGCTGTATAGTTTAAAATTTGTTTTTTTTGTTGCGTGTAAAATTACTCGCATACGTTTCACTTACGGAAAATGGGATAGACCTTACATAACGACCTAACGTAATGAAATTAAATTATTGCCAGAAATTTAAGGCAACTTAACCTTTTAAAATATGATATGTTTTAGAATAATTCTTTTTATACTCGTATATAGGTCAATAATAGTTTGAAACGTGTATTAGTTTGTCAGTAGCTTGTTGTTTTAGTTGGAATATTCCTAAAACAACATAGCATAACAACATAGCATAGCAACATATTTTTAATTTTTATTTTGAAAGGTAAAAAAATATAGATAATTTGTAGACTCTTCAACTATCTGTACTAGTAGGGGTAGATAGTAGGAGAAACCGCCCTCCTAAGGAGAGACCTATGTCTAGCAGTGGACTAGTAAAGGCTGTGGATGAGTTGTAGATAGAAGAGATAACTAAAACGAAGGTTTCAATATAGGTACCTATGCTCGTTGTTTTATCGTTTAATATTATGAAATAACAATAAAAAATCTAACCGCATTCATTAGTAATCCATATTCATAAATTATAAAGCATATTTTTTTACCGTTTTTTTACGCTATTCCCACTTCAGAATATATCCAAATATTTCTCCATATATATTTTTCTCAATAAACCGTTTCATATAGTTATACAGTTTCATATAGGTATAGGTAAAAGGGACTTTGATTTTATAATGTATAGAAAATAACTCAAGTTAAAGATTTATTAAAGTGACTAAAATTCAAAGTAACAGACCCTAATAAGGTAACAACAATAAAACCATCATTGTCTCATAGTAGGTAATAAACGTGGACAAAGAACAGTATTACAGAAATAATCCCCAAGCCGCAGTACCCTAAATGATATCAATTTAAGGCGTCGACAAATCCCAACCATTTTCCAAGCCGTTGCAACAAAAACAGTACCAGTGGTTAATTTGTTTTGGGAACGTTTCAGGGCAAATTTATTTCTAGTTAATTCGAAATTCAAATGAAGTAAGAAAAGTAGTATAGGTAGTTGATCGATTTAATAGATTTTTAATATTTTGTACTTCACTAATATGTTAAATAGTTATGTTAAAGTAAATGTTAACGTTGATTACCGTTAAAAGAACTTGTTTTGAATCCTAAGCAACCTTATCAAGAAAAATGGTTGGTCCAGACAAATTTACAATCATTTTTATCTTATTTATAGACTCCTAATTTTTGCAATATAATCCCTAAAGTGCCCGGTTGACGGCAAAAAGCTTTTTTTAAAAAAAAAAATGTCAGAAGGGTTAGGAATATATCCTGTGTCACGGGGGACTTTACAAACATACATGAAACAGACACAAAGAACACCCAGACTGAGAACAACAATTTGTGGATAACACAAAGTGTCGTCCCATGTGGGGATCGGACCCACAACACCAACGTACTAGTAAATGGCGAGGTGACCGCTTATACCACTACGCCATCCGTGCAGTCTTTCGCCAGTAATAATTTTAGACGCACTTACTTAATAGGAATTAAGTGAGACTAAAATTATTATAGGCAAAATCATCATCATTAACAGCCTTAATTTATCCATTGCTCGACTTAGAAAGGAGGTTTTGGTCTGCTATACTACGCTGACCAGACGGGCTGGTATAGGGTTTGTGTCAAGTTTTCCTTCTCCTTGTGGTGCTGATGTCCTGCGTTTATTCTCTTAGTTGGCGAAATTTAGGCGTTTAATATAACTCTGCCTACCCATTCTAAGTGAATATCGATCGTTAATCTCATAGAATTTAGCGCTAGTTGGAAATTACAAGCGAACTTTCAAAAGACCATTGGTATTGTAATTTCACTAAACATTGTAACAATAAAAACTGTTTCACATTCATTTCAAAATGAATACTACTAATAAAATGTTACGCCATACTAAATTCCTTATTTGTATGAAGATGAGTTAAATACTTCAAATTCAGGTTAGTCAGTTGTTTCTTTATTTACGGGATCTTAAGAATTTTGACTGTAGTTAGTAAAGTATCATTTACATAAATAAATAAATTTAATTTAAACACTGGCAGGTTGCCTGAGTACTTATACTTAAGAGAGGTTCTAGAAAGTCAAACTTACTATAAAAGTAAACTACCGCTACATACGTAATTGTAGGCCTAATTTGTTTTAGGCGTCTAGCCTAGGTCGCATATTAGTGTATTCTAGTGACAAAAATAGCTTTTTGATAAGAAACACAGAAAAAGGTATAATTTGTTGTGTGATAAGAACTATTTAATACTTAATGCATAAAAGGACATTGTAAAATGGCGAACTTATTGCCACATACATTCTATATTAATACTTGAACAGAATTCTTTATACGACGTTTTTTGGGAAAATTTTGTGAAAATTTACAATTTAATTTACAATACATAAAATTTATGATGAAAGCTAAAAGCTAATATTTTTTGTAATATTCGTCACACTTTTTGGGTAATATTTGTCACACTTTTCAAAAGTACTTAAAAATAGTTACACGAACCTAATGTGTGTGACGGGCACTTTCGGGCCGGGAGCGGTCAGAGGAGGTTTTTTTTATTAGTCAGTTAACTTTATTGTAATTTTGGACGACATCTTTATTATAATTTTATTTAAGGTATTAGTAAACTTTTCTTGTGACTAAAAAATACTCTGAAGTTGATATGCTAAATAATGATAATGTTGATAAATAATAATAATAATTTATATTTAATGCTGTTGGTATTACTTGTATAGTGCCTAAAGATTTAAATCCCTGCATATCAATCTATACAAATTGATTAAAATAATTAAAATTTACACAATATCTGAATATATCATAATTATTTGTTAACAAACCTAAAATTATATTTTTATTTTAATGAAGTAATTAATTATAAGTACAGTAAGCAAAAGTTTACGTGAATCAGATTTATCACCTTCATACATTGAAATATATTAATGCGTGACCTTGAGACTTTTTCATCGATGTTCGTAAAAGAACAACCGATAATACTTTTCGTCTGTTCAATAGACTTTCCTCCGGGTATAAGTGACCACATCGATTAAAAAAATATGTTTTTAAGATGAAATAATATAAGTGAGAAATTACAGTGCAAGTAGTTAAATAATAAGTATAGAATAGTAGTATAAGTGAAGTAGTTAAATAACAATTGCGGTCAAGGAGCGGTGGATCGTGCCCAAACGCGGGCTTATTTATTTTTTTGTGTATCTACTATATTTGTGTAGCTTACTGTACTAATATAAAAATGGGTTAAAAATATAATCGTAACTAAATTATTTTTCGCGTAGAGTGATTATTATTACTACAACCTAGTATATATATTTGGATTCCATCAATAAACAAATTACTCTGCTGCGGTCGCGATTGGGAATTATAACATATTTATCCACTATGTTTGCGATAAATACTTTAGTGTTTTTGCTTTCTACACCTTATATTTCTTGTCTATGTAAGTAGCTACAATGTTATTATGTTAAATTGCTGTTATATAAGCTGTTTCTTTTTACAAAATAAATTAACCTAGACATTCATTCATCATCATGATCATCAAAAGCCACGCTGGCCGGACGGGTTGGTAGAGGGTTTGTGTCAAGTTTTCCTTCTTCTGCAGTGCTGTTGTTCTGCGTAGTTTTCTCCCTTAGTCGGCTCTTACGACACTCACGGGATGAATAGCGGTGGTGACACTCTGTATTCTTAATCCGTCACCACACGGACATTAATTATTATGTATTAAATTAATTCCTAATGCACTTAATTAAATTACTTTCACGTTGTATTTAATTGGTTTTTAACACGCTTTTTTAGCTTGGTATGTATGTATCTATGTAACGGAATCTTTGAACGTGATTTTTATCCACTCTAAAAAGTCGGATTAAATTGAAAAATCCCATGCTTATCAAGTACCTACCGATGACAATTCAACAATTTAATATTTTTTTTTGACTGTACTGATCAGGATCTTCAGGAATAACAGCTTTTTTCATATCTAAAAATATGGTTGTGTCTTGTACCACGCAGGCGTGTACTGAAGCATATGTGACTTACTTACTTGTTGGTTTTTTAGTCTTTAATAAGAAAATAATTATCATTTATGTGTAAAAATGAATTATTTATAAATAAAAAAACTAAGCAAAACGCTTTTTCACTACCCGAACTAAAAAGCAGAAAATAATTTTCTATAAATTCAAAAAGAAAAAATCTGTTTTCGTAAAAAAGCGTGGGATGCTTTACTTTTATCAATACCTGTCAATAAAATATTAACAAAACTTGATATCAAGCACCCCACACATTTTTTATGATAAAATGTTTTTTTTTTTGTGAACTTATAGGAAATTATTTTTTACTTTTTAGTTCGGCTAGTACAAAATCGTGTTTTTTAAGTATTTTTTTTAAATATATATTAATAATTGAAGTTGATACTACTCCCTCTGTTATACTAACTCAAAATATGTGTGTTCTAAATATTAAGGAAACACGCTATCGGTCTTCACCCGTAATTTTACATTCTAATATTTGATTTGAGCATTGCTCACATGTCCTTTTTGCTCTAGTCATGCGTGCGAAACACGTGTCACGAGTCTGATACGCTCTCTAGCGGTAGTCTAATGCTATACATTAAAGTTATTGCATTAAACTATGAATATAAATATTACCAGGAACTTAAATTATACGGTCTGTTTTACTTTTAGGTTAGTTTGTTAAATGCAGTTATACTACAGTATCTTATGGTAAATAGGTTAATCAACATTCGTAGTATGTTTACCAGGCAAATTGCATAAAACGATCTTGAAAATATTTTTATTTATGTATTTAGTATTTATAGAAGAAGCTTATTACGTCTTTAGAGACTTTCGCATTTCGATGTATATAAATTATGAATGTGCACGGGAATTAACGAGGTCACGTAATTTGCATTGACCATTTTGATTGATCTTCTTTGCTTACAACATAAATAGTATTTCTCGATGTATCTAAGTAGCTACTTTGACAACCGTATTAAAATAACAATACTTTTAAAAAGAAAAACACAAACTCTAAGCAACGATTTAGAAATCCTCTTATTCAACACCACAGGACATAACCATGTTAAAATAATAGTTTTTTACATTTTTTTGTGTCAAAGGATTCTCTTAGACCTAAATTTGGGGTCACTTTTATTTTAGCGATCATTACTTTCTCAACATGCAACTATAGTAATGCGTTCTCCCGTTTAAGGACCGCATTTATAACATAAATTAAAATATAATAAAAAAAATGGACGATGGCATTATGTAAAATAATAAGGAGTTAATTTCATGCACATTACAGAATATACAGAATATATTTTTATGTTTAAAACATTTATTTTAGACAGCATTAACATCAGCAGCATCACTTTCCGTTTCGGCTCGTTTTTTTCAAATGAAAAGTCGTACGTACAAAAATTTGTGTAAAAGAAACTAAAAAATACGCTTTTGTGACCTAACTAAAAAGTGAAAAATAATTTTCTATTAAGTCAAAACTAAAAATCATTTTATCGTAAAAATGCGCGGGGTGCTGGATCTTAAGTAAAGTTATTATATTACAAAATAGGTTGAAAAGCACCCCACGCTTTTTTATCATAAAATGTTTTTTTTTTACTTGTAGCAAAAAAACTACATTTTAGTTCGGCTACAGTAACAAAAGGCCAAAATTATCAAATTATTGTATTGTCATCGGTTATTGATAAGTGCGCAAAGTTTCAACTTAATTCAACGTTTTGAAGTTGATCAAAATCATTTTGAAGATTCAGTTACATACATATGGATTAAAAACTGCTTCTTAAGTACCAACAAATAATTTGACTATCTTAAATAAAGTTTACATTGACTCATTTTTTAAACATAAACCTGCATAAATTTATAATAAAAATGATTTTTCATTTTGAATTTACAGAAATTTATTTTTTACATTTTATTCCGACTAGTTACTAAAGCGTGTTTTTTAGTTTTTTAGTTTTATAATTTATTTTTAAATCATCAACAACATCAACATTTTGCATGCAATTGCGTGCGAATTAAAGAAAATTAGACGTGTAAAAAAGTATCTCGTTGATACACATGCGAACATCCAAAACCAGTCAAGCATAGAGTGCGCCAACATATGTATGGCGAGAAAGCAGCCGAACCTACTCATTGAATAATGTGACAAGTTCTAGCCGAATAATTTTAAAAATAGTCTCAATACTTATTGACTGCAAAAATTACACAATCATAAATAATATATTCTTCTACGCCCATTTGCCAAACTGTCTCTTCAAGCTCTTTCCTCAAATCGTTTTCATTATGGTCAACAGCCTTTAATAGTCCATTGCTGGTCATAGGCCTCTAAGTTTTCTTTCTCTTTGTCCAGCGTAGTTGGCTTGCCTTACCTCCAATACTATTTACAAATTTCCTTTTTGATGTAAAATATCAAAATGTAGCATCTGAACATTATAATAATAATGTTTCAGAAATCTGACACACAATGCCATCATTTTAACTAACCAGAGCTTGTACTGTGAAAGCTAGATTGACTGATAGAACACTTGTATACTTTTTATTTTTATTATTTATCGACTACATATTGGGATTAACGGTATTAAATACAAACCTTAATGATTTTCACAGGGTCATATTAAAATAATGTCATTTCATGTTTCTTTTTTACATTAATTGAATTGCATATATAGGTTTCTGTAGTATGACATCGTTTCGAGAATTCTATAAATCCTTTTACAAATGTTATCCTTGACAGGACATGATCAATCAATCAATTATTTTGTAATTTAAGCCAATTATATTTATGAGAAGATTAAAAGTATTACTTTCTCCGAAATATCATAATTAATGTTTTGTAACAGCTGTCCAAGAAAGTCCAGATGTTGGTATTATTGGCGGGCATGACATTACCATAGAAAAGGTTCCCTTCATAGCTTCACTGCGGCTGGATGGAAAGATACATTTTTGCGGATGCTCCATCATTGATGAACAATTTGTTCTATCAGCTGCACACTGTATAGTGCCGTAAGTATAAATAGTAATATATACTGTTCAAAGAGTTTTTTCGGCCACTGTAAGTATTAAAATTTGTTAGTAATTGTAAACTTTAATTTGATGTGTGATAAATAGATTGTGGTATACCACAATGTTTGTTTGGTGTTTGGCATTCTAATACATACACTTAAGCTTGCACAATCGCTTAAACCATCTATGGTAAAGTCCAAACATAGGATTATGTGTTAACCTGTATTGTATACATACCTTTTTCGTTTTTGTTTTTCCTCGTAACTAATAAAGAACTAGACAGAGTTTGATAAATAGAGTGCCGTGAGATACCTATATATAGTGTGAGTCACAATTTCTGTACTTGTATGTTATTTTTAGAAATCGAGAGTACAAAGTTTTAGTCGGCACAAGCAAACTTCACCAAGGTGGAAGCCTCTATGATGTAGAGAAAATATTAGTACATCCCAAATATAACAATAGAACTTACGACTATGATATCTCCATTCTGAAGTTGAAGGAACCTCTAGTATTTTCAACTAAAGTGAACAAAATAGATTTGTTCGATAACAGTATCAAGATGAAAAGTGGAACGATCTTAAAAACTGTTGGTTGGGGATACACTGAGGTAAGGGATGCTTTGGCATTCAGGTCTTAAAACCAAACCAAAAATAATGCAAACATGTTTTCGACACAATATAAAGCCTTCTGTACTTTTTCTATGTCTAACATCTGAATATTTATAGCCTAAAGGAAATATATCTGAAACACTGCGTGTCGTTCAACTACCGAAGGTGTCACGGGCACCTTGCCAGCGTGCATTTGGAAACAAAATTGAAATAACTCGAAGAATGATTTGCGCAGGTGGCGAAGGAAAAGACACCTGCAAGGTAATTTCATCTTTTTCCATTAATTGTTCTTTATTAGCTTGAATATGGTCAATTTGTACAGATAGCGACATGCGATCGAGTTTTAAAAGATCTGCTCTCGGACGTTGTTGAAAAAACGTGCTACTAGTTGATTTTGTTATTTTTAACTTTTATCATTTTTAATTATTTCTTTAGGGTAACCATATTAACACATAAGTTAGGCACTAATTTAAAAGTGCGTAAGAGCCGACTAAGGCAGGAAACTCTGTAGGATAACAGCACTGCAAGAGAAAAGGAAACTTGAATCAAACCCTATACCAACCCGTCGTGTTAAACCCTCCTTTCTAAGGAGAGGCCTATGTCCAGCAGTTAACTATTAAGGGCTCTGAACGATGATGCATATTTTCTTGGCGTGGTTTCTCGTAGGACTTTGAAGTTCGGCCGGTTTCTTTTTGGAGTTTAATCATTAAGAATCGATTTTTATATAAGGCGCCCGGTATGAAAAAAATATGACGAATAAAATTTAGTAATCGAATGAGCTCGTTCCGTTTTTTTAGTTTTAAATGTAATTTATAGATGGCGATTCAACTATTACTTTTACGTGGTTTTAATAATATATTTTTCATGAGTTTATTATTAGTTCTATGATTGCATTTTTTTTTTTCAGTTTAATGAGTAGTGTCAGTGTAGTGTCCACTACAAAATTGAAACTGTTTTAAAACTTAATAAACCCCAAAATAAAAAGCAATTAATACGTGACTTCTAATTATTTTACTAATATTTACATAGATAGCGCTGATCAGTAAATTTGTGTGCAGCCGACATACACAGGGTATACGTTCTTAAGGAATAAACTCCAGTCGTGCGTCGGAGCTGACACACACTTTTTTTATGTTTTTCTTATTAACCAATTTATTTTAAATTGATGATGAACTTATTATACATTTAAATTTTGAAACAAAAATATCCTAAATAATGTTGTAGAAATTAAATGTGAGTAAACATATATTTACAGTATATTTGTAATCAAAGCATTTCAAATTTATGTAATTGTAAGCTTGTAATTTTCATCACCCAAAAACCGTTAGAGATCTTTTTCCACTGTATTATAATATAGTTACAATAGATAATTAGCCTAGTATATAACATTACGTTACATTACTTGTAAAATACATTAAGACCCGTCTTCAAACTCTTCTATCGCGGTAATGAGCTAAGTAAAATAAATAAATTACTATGTGGAGGAAATTCTTTTCCTCTCTCAAAATCTTCCATTGCCCAGACAGCTAATTGTTTACAGTCACGCACAAATACACAAATGGATTCGCTGTGTATCTGTATGTGAATTAATGTACTATAGTTATTGTAATGCTGTTTAAACGTGAACGAAAATATATTGAACTAGCTAGGCTCGCCCGGGCCGCGTTTACGTCGGTTATCGCTGTAGAAAGTAGTCTATAGTACTCAGAAATATTATACGAGTACCTTTCTAACAATGAAAGAATTTTCAAAATCTGATCAGTAGTACCGGAGATTACCCCGAACATACAAACTCACTAACTTTACCTTTATAATATTAGTATAGATCAGTCAGTTTATTATAAGAATCAAAATGATATAAAAGTGTTTATGACTTTTAACAGTCGCCAAATTCATTCGCAATGGCTTAAGTATTGATTTTTGTTTCACTGTAATATAATTTAAAAGTTTTTATTTTATTTTAGGGCGACAGTGGAGGTCCCTTGATATGGAAAACTGCCCAAGTAGGCATCACATCCTTTGGTAGCAATTGTGGCAGCCTGCCAGGTGTCTACACTAACGTTTTTAAAATGGCACATTGGATTACACGTACCATCGCTGAGAACCTTTAATTAGGTAAACTCTGTAATGTTTTACATAATAAAGCAAAAATTAAAAATAATGAAAATGACTTTCACTTCGAAAACAATTTCTATTCGCTTTTACCTTTAAAATTGAAACATGAAACAACTTCCACATCTATGGTTTGATTTTTGGTAATATTTCTCATATTTATAAGAGTACATTAAAATAAAATGAAATAACTTGAACTTGCCGACTTCAGGCTGTTTTACAATCATTAAAAAGGCTAAGAGGTTTTTTGCCACCATCAAACAAATTGCCTTTTACGTGACTTGCTTAAACACGTTCCTAAATATATTTTTTACAGTAACTTGACCGTATCTGTAGAACAGCTTCCTGGAAAGAATAGGTTAATTTAGATTTTGTACTGAGGATTTTGAATATTTATTTGAAAAAAAAAGCATGTTTTAGGCAGAAAACCTAACCTTTACCGTGGGAGAAACATGTCTCGACATAACTTGGCCGGTTTGGTCTTCTCCTAAGTGAGGTTACAGCAGCAACTAATTCTGCGGAGATTCGAAAGGTGTCAACCCATTTTTTATTCTCGAGTTTCACGTGTCCATGGGCGGTGGTAGTCACTTAACATCAGGTGACCATCTGCTCGTTTGTCTTCCATACCTCAAAAAAAGTTTTATCAACTATATTTGTAGCTAGACTAGACGAACCTCCTTGCTTCACTGATAAAATATATTTTTCTTGAATAATAAAGCAATCATTATTCATGAGTAAAATGAAACGCCAAAGGCGCTTCACTCTGGATAGTAAAAAACTAGCGTTACAAAGGTTAGCTTATCACAATAACAAGTACAGAATGATTGTGCGTCGTATCATCACTAGTACAGATGATAATTTAGAGCTATTCAAGTTCATCAAAATAATAACTAAATATTTTAATAATATGTCATTTTAACGACCTCAATAAAGAATACGAGTTCTATATACATACATTTACTATCAGTACAGTCTGCAAAAGTTTTAGTAAAAAATAATTTTATTATTCTCACCTGTTATACCCAGTTTTGCACTTGAAAATTTTAGCCAATAAATCCAAAGACGTGTCTGTCTATTATGACAAGACAATGCCTGTGAGCTATTGTGATCAACTACTTAAGCAGATGTTTGGGACATTTAGCAAGAAGAAGGTCCCGAATTGCTTTTGTTTCTTTCTGTTAGATTAGCGGCTGTCACACGTTAAGACGTACCATTTGGTGTGCCATGAATTAGTGTTTCTCATCGAAAAAAGTAATGCCAATTCAGCCTGTAACAAATATTTTACATGTGGGTGCGTTGGCCCCTAAGTCGTTTTACAAACTTACATTTATCTGGCACTTCTTTCTGTATTAGGTAAAAATTAAATTTTCAGAATTTTATTGCAAAATAGTTACCCAAGTTTCTTGCAAAAAAATGCATAGTAATTGAATGAACATCTAAACAAATCCTTACATATTTAACAAATTTTATTCGAAAAACCATAACATGACAAACCTTAAAAGTTAAGACTACGCTCTGTAAATTCCTCAGAAAACTAAAGGTAATTTAAATGCGATTATCTATATACCTCTAACAAAAAAAATGAAAAAAAAAAAAAAAAAAAAAAAAGTTCCGAGTGAGACTCGATCCAGCGACCCCGCGATTACTAGTCTCGGCCGCTACCGACTACACCACGAGCCCGGCTCGAAAACCGGTGTAATCTTTATGGTATAAGAGCGCGCTCGAAAACTTCAAACTCCATTTTCTCGAGAATTTCTGAATATGGCGTCGAGCTGCTTTGGGATCTTAATATTGGGGGTCTGAACTTTACGTACCATGAGTATGAAAAATTACAAAAATCCGATTGCCGTAAGGTCCCCTTGTAAGTATTAAGTTCTGAAGTTGTTTCTACAGATTAACTTTTAGAAAAGTTAATCGTCTAGTAACGGGTATTCCTTTTGCCAACACGGATATACTTTTTTGTCTTAATGACCAATGGCAACTTTTTTTTCATACTTTTAACAACTGACTGTACTAAACAAAATTAACATCTGACACTACATAGATAACGCTTTTCCGTATTATATTATTATCATACATCATTATATGTTAAATATAAACTTTAAGCAGTTCAGTATAGTTGTGTATTAAAGTTCATAATGTTATGGAAAATTACTCTAGTGGTTTTGGTTTATGTAACCACAGCATTTTGCCTAAGTAAGTTATTTTTCTAGTATAAAACCTATCATAAATAAATAAAAACTTTCTTTAGAGTAGTAAATTTTTATTGAAGACTAGTTTTTATCCGAATATTCAGTGTTTTGATAACGACTTTGCAAAAATTCATTACGAATTTTAGGGCTGCGCATAAAATGCGAACTAACAAACAATGATAGATTTTACATTATGGTGATATAAACACGTGAACCGTATGTCTTAAATAAACATGTTTTTATATGAGATGATCTGACATAGGTACGTTGTTCTATAACATTATTTCAAGTTTAGTATTGTTTAATTTAGTTAGTTAGTAATAATGCGTTTTACGAAACGAAAAGTTTTAAGATGAGTAAAAGAGTAAACTAAAAATCCGACCTAAACAAGCTGTACTACTACTTGTTTTTAGTCTGAATTTTAAATCAAAAGTTAAACACCGAAACCAATTAACCCTTCTTTAAATTCGACTAGACTTCAAAAGTGATATTTTTTATAGTCTAATAACATTTATTTATTTATTTTATTTATTTTCTTACAATATCTTTACAGAATTTTTCCAATGCGATATTGTAATTAAATTAATTAAATTTGAGCTAAATTAAACTAAATTACAAACTAAAGTACCAAATTATACTTAGTGCTATAATTGTGAATTCACTCAAAGAACAACAAAATATATCCACATCGTCAGCTATGAAGTTTAGTGTGCGCAGCGCGCGCGTCAAAGGTGCCTCGCGCAGTAAGTTAGTGCGGGCGCGCGGCACCGCCGGAAGGCGCGGCCGCGCCGACGTCACGCGTAGCCGTCTGGGACACACAGACCCACCCTCTCTAATAAATTTGCATTATGTATCTCCCCCCCCACCCCCTAATCACCTTAAAGATATAGGTTCCCTCCTGACCCTCAGTTCATTATATTCAACCATCCTTCCACCTAATATAAACCGGGTATAAAATAAACCATACCTAATATAACATAGGTACACAATCAATTTATTTTGCCTCAGATGACGCTAAAGCGCCTATCTCTGGCGGCAACTACATCTCCATTAAGAAAGCTCCCTACATGGCCTCAGTGCGAGTGAACAAAACTGAGCATGTTTGTGGCGGTTCCATCATACATGAGCGATTTGTTTTGACATCTGCAAGGTGCATTGTGGAGTAAGTATATTTTATAATTATACAATAAACAATAAGTCTATAATACTTATACCCAGGCAGGATACTCGAATGGTTTATTGAGTAAGAGACAATCACTTGAAATCATCTATTATACATATTTTAGTATATAAAATACTCTGTCGAGGGGGGTCACTCATGCTTGTACCCCTCACCCCATCACTCATGGAGTAAGTAGAGGGGCAATAAGCGCGCAAATGATTTTTTAATACATTTTTAGGAACATCATTAAAAATTGTGGCTCATAGTTTGTGGTTGACACATGAAATCCTTAAGAGACTAAGAAAAATCTCGTGATAGATAGTGACAGAAGCCACAACTTTTTCCTATTTTTTTTTAAATAAAATTTAAATAATGACTATTTTAATACTAATGAACCAGTGCGCAAGTTAAATCAGATCATAATAAAAATAAATCGAATATGGTAGTAATTACAGGACCCTGACTTCCCGAAAACGGCCAGTTGTTATAGATTTGGGACACCGTCGTTGCCGATTCTGTCACTTATGTAGTGCGGTAATGCTACCAAGCATGGGCAAATGTAGAGACACAACAAAAACACGAAACAAACTTGTGTTTGAAATTGAAACTAACTAAATCTAGTCCAGTTCAATCCAAAAAAGACACAGGTCCGCAAAGAAGATACCATTTGTCGTATCACCTCCTAAATCACCTCCCTAACTGCCTCAGCCAGTATTGGAATCCTAGGCATCAACATATCGAGCGAAGTTCAGTTTCGGGGTCACTTAGAAGGTAAGGTCAAATTGGCCTCGAAGAAGCTCGAGGTGCTAAACAGATCGTGGCAGTATTTCACTCCGGCACACCACCTTGAGCTCTATAAGGCGCAAGTTTGGCCGCATATGGAATACTGTTCTCATCTCTATGCAGGGGCACCTCAGTATCAGATTATCCCTCTGGACCGCATCCAACGAAGAGCGACTCGAATCGTCGATAGCCCAAACGTCTCCGATCAGCTCGATCTCTTGGCGTTACGTAGAGATGTGGCTTCACTCTGCATTCTCTATCGTATATATCATGGAGAGTGCTCCGATGAATTGTTCGGACTAATATCGGCAGCAACTTTCCGCCATCGTTCCACACGACAAAATTTTCATGCCCATCACCTGGATAGTTGACGTTCCACTACTGTGCACTTTTCGAGACACTTTTTGCCCGCACAACCAATGTGTGGAACGGATTATCGTCTGCGGTATTTCTGGACCGATACGACGTTCAAACCTTCAAGAAAAGAGCGTATTCCTTCCTAAAAGGCCGGCAACGCGTCTGTGACTCCTGAGTTGCGGACGTTCATGGGCAGCGATGGTCACATTCCATCAGGTCTGCCCCCTCTAACATAAAAAAAACCTGCTCGAATTTTACTGCTACTATTCAATTCACATCATCACATCAAGTCTTTAATAGTTCACTGTTAGACCTAGGCCGCTTCTTAGAAAGGAGGTTTTGGCCTACCATACCTAAGTTTTCCTTATCTTAGTGTTTTTTTTTAATTTCTGTTTTGTAAAGTTGGTAGCTTCTATAAAACATAATCAGCACGATGAACAGTTGGAGATCGGAATTTGGGTGCCACTTGAGACGATATCATAGTATGGATATGACGGTGTTCCTGGGAATATGCGGAAATCGCGTTTGTTTAAGGAATACGTTTATTCATTTTTATTAAACCTTTAGATTTAAACAGTAGAGACTTTTAATGAATAGATAGAGTCATCCTTAAAAGTGCAACAGAAAATAATTAAAACATTCCAAACATAAAATTGTTTTCATTTTATGAATAAAAGACCTCAATTAGTTAGAATAGTAAATGATTGTTTCATTTACTTATTAAAAAAATCCTGACATTTTTATTTTTGCTGCGTGAAGTATGAATTATATAGAAAAAAAACAGTTGTATAGAAGCACAAGATTCATTATCATTCAGAATTCTAATTTCCGGAAATTCTTGATCAAAGTACCGATTCCCGGGAATTTTTGGTCATATCCATACTTTTGATAGTAATAGCACCCAAGATTCCGATCTATGGTTATTACAAAGCGATTATGATTTTATATTTTTATCTAATACCAATTGTCTCTTAACAAACAATTTTACTTTCTACTACTTTTTTAATATTAAATAAATTCTATGTACAGGAATCAAAAGTACCAAGTTGCAGTTGGTACACATAATTTACACAAAGGCGGATGGTTGTATGATGTTGAAGAAATATTGATGCATCCAATGTATTCAAACGAGACATTTGATAATGACATCTGCATTCTTAAATTGAAAGATTCCATGTCTTTCGGGCCTACTGTGGACAGAATACATTTAAACGATAAAAGTCTTAAAATGAAAAATGGGATGACCATGAAAGTAACTGGATGGGGATGTACAGCGGTAAGTTGATCTAAGACGATTTTTTCGACACTCTTTTTTTAAGAATATATTTCGCTTCCAAAGACATGTGTTGACGTGCTTTTCAAACCAAAGTCAAATGCTTATAGCTCAATGAATCTGTGGAAAAATTTCAGCAGTTCTTTTTTGCTTTTATCGAGCGAGTGAGATTATCTGAGACCGGAGACATTCACAAGGCAGCGCACTTGTGTCTCTCGGGTTGCAGGTGTCCACGGGCGGTGGTAATCCCTTACCATCGGGAGCAGATTAGCCTTTATTCATATGACATAAGCTAAAACACATTGTCGGGGCTGTAAAATTTGAGCGTTTCTCTCGATTTCTGTAAGATTTCATCATCAGATCCTGATCCGGTATACCCTTTCGAGTACAAAAAGAATTTTGACAATCGGTTTGATAAACACAATTGACCAATATATCGCGTAACAAACATACAAAAAACATACAACCGAATTAATAACCTCCGCTTTTTTGTTTATGAAGTCGGTTAAAAATAGACCGAAATCTCTCAAAAGAATAAAAGGGACGACGCAGGACTACTTTGTGCAAATGTTTAAAAAAATAATAAGACGATGATGTTACTGCTAAAGCTATTCAGAGGATAAAAATATATTTTACATTCAGTTTTTATATAATAACTTTCTTAATCAAGAAACTTGAGAATGTGATCATCTAATAATCTCAATTTCGATGAATATGATACGCTATTAGACATAATAGGCGTGTACCTACATTAATTGATTTTGTATTGGATATTAGACACACAGGGTCAAATATTTAGAGAAGCCAAACATTAGTTAGCTCAGGTTGGGAATGCTGAGACTACAAACTTGAAATTTAAAAGTAACATGTAATAAAAGGCTTATTTTAAACATGTTATATGTAATCATAATTAATTATAAGAAAAGAGCAGGCAAAATTATATTCTCTCGGGGAACGAAGGTAAAACGTACTGTAACACATGAGGTTTATTCTGCCTTATAAATTTAAATTAAACTCTACTGTTGACAGCCTCAAGGGAATGTAACTGAACGTTTACATCAAGTTAAGGTACGGATGGTGCTACGGCGGCCTTGTCGTCACGCCCTAGGAAGAAATATAACACTTACTCGCAGTATGATTTGCGCCGGCGGTAATGGAAGAGATGCGTGCAAGGTAATCTTTATATAAAATAACGTATCTTGTATTTTAGTAATGTTAGGTAAAATAGTTATTTAAGGTTCAGCCTTGCAATAATAATAACTTTACACATCTCACACACGGCAGTCTGTCAACTTTAGTCAATTCATCGATTACAAAATACCTAATAAATAATACTACAAATATTACTGCTACAAATGGCTAAGGTGCATACAATATTACTTATTTAGGTAATATTACATTACGCTATAGATGTTTACAGTTTTTTAGCAAAAGAACTCACTAGCCAAACCGAAAGGTTGGAACATTATAATATGAAGACATTAGCAAGTCAAAGAGATAAATTAGACTTAATCTTTCTCTATAAAATTATGAACGGAGTTGTAGATTTTGGTAGTATTTTGAGTAGCTTACCTATTAGGGTATCCAACCATATTCCAAGAAAAAATGTATATAGCTTTTCTGACATTGCAACCTCTAAAACAAATCTTGGTCATTACGCCGCTGTGCCAAGGCTCTGTAGGCAATACAATACTCTGTCAAAGACTCATAATATCGACATCTGTAAGTCTTGCCCGAAATTTAAAACGCGTTTGGGAAAATTGTAAGCTTAATGTTGTTTATTGTTTGTGTTTTATTTTTGCTCCGTTTTTTTTTTTTTGTATTCTTTCAATTTATTGTAAGGATAGAGCCCACATTTACAGGTAAAATCACGTTTTTGGCTTTCGCTTTTCTACTTTACTGTCTCTATCTATAGCGAATCAATCAGTTTAAGATTTATCTTTGTTTAATAGACCATAGCTCTTTGTTAGCTAAGCTACACCAGACCTTGGAATGATTGCAAACATTAAGGTGTTGATTTTACCATAACAAGTAATTTGACATTACATAAACGGTTACTAAAAATAGCCATCCCTATCTTAGTAAATATAATAAAATAAAGAGTATTCTCTTTATATTACTTTTATACTAATATTTGTCAATTAATTTTGAATATATTGAAATTAAACATTTTTCAGGGCGACGACGGAGGTCCTTTGATATGGAAAAATGTGCAAGTGGGCATTGTGTCTTTCCTAGCAGGAAATCGTTTACCGCGCGTCTACACTAAAATTTCAGAGATGTTACCTTGGATTACAGATGAAGTTTATGAAAATTATTGAAACATAAAAGTGAATTGATACTCAAGGTTTTACGACTTTCGAAATTGGTGTTTGTATAAATATTATGTTGATATTTTTGCTGCTAAATGTAAATATAAAAGTTAAGGCTTAATGAATAATAACTCTGTTACAATCTACCAGTAAGGCACTTAAACTAAGCTGGATCTAGTATAGAGAAACAAGCCCATATGTATGTATATAATATACACACTCATTATGACATATTGATAAGGCTATATTTTATGAGAAAACTGTATACATAGTCTGTATTGTGTTACTGTAATTTACCCAAAATAAAAAAGAAAACATTAAAAAAAAACTGACCTGGACCATTCGTAATAATTTCAAAATCCCCGTAATCGGGAGGTGGAAACTTGTAAAATGAATTCCTGCTAACATGCAGCTCTTAGTATCACTCGCAGTTTCACATCAATAGCCTCTGATAGTCCACTGCTGGACATAAGCCTTTCCTTAGAAAGGAGGTTACCCTAAAAGTATTATCAACATTGTATTTTACACGTTACAAGTAACTAAGATGTTGAAATGGTGGAGACAATATCAGATGGCAATACGAGTTTGTATAAAATCCTTTCTACATAGGGTTCCTTTGATAACATTTTATTAACAAAGGCATTCCATGTCCAAGGTTCAGGAATGTTGTACAACAATAGGTATTTGTCAGAATCCGCTAGCTTTATCCTCACGAAATAATAGGCTGTTCTGCTGCTTTTCACCATATAATGCAAGTTGGTAACGTGCTCAAGTATGCAAATCGTGTACTAAGCATTTTCTCTAAATATTGAATGTAAATTTTGCCTTCTCTCTGAATAGAACTCTACAAAATGGAACTATATAATAAGTAGTTTAATAACACGTTGGGCAAGAGCGGGCAAAAATTGAAATGTAACATGCATGTATTGTGGTTCTATAGGTTAAGTTATTTAGGATATTGTTTATTTTTAAATTTAATGCTCCAAATAAAAAGATATATTCTTTTCATTTGGAGCATTAAGCATTAAACATTACTAAAAGCTACAAGCTAAAGCACCGAGCTAAAATATTGTTATCATGGTTGTAATCCACTTTGCTGGTTGTAATGTTGTTTTTTAAAATAACATTTTAGAATTAATTAATTGGACTTAAAAATAATTAAAAAACTGTTTATTATAAAGATGAAGAATATTTTAGACCTTAAAATTCATATAATCCTAAATTCTCGGGGTCTACTTCTAGCTACTAAAGAACTACACTTTCTATTTCCCCCTCCATCATCAGACTACCTCCAAAATGACACATTATAGTAGTGCTAATGTTTATTGAAGTACTATGGTATGGTAAGTGTATAAACTAGGTCAAAACAAAAATGTGCTGACCAACCAAATAAGCAGTTTCTCTGAATGTTCCTCAACATTAATTAGTCTAGTTTGGCCGAGATACTCGCAGTAAACAGATTGTCGTCGTAATAGCTTCGTTAATTAAAGCCTGTACTCGTAGTTGAGCTCGAGATACGTGACCGAGGATGATAAGAAAGCTCCAGCAACCGCACCTACGTGGAATGTATAGGTATAAAGATATAATATACGCCGTAGTACCTAATGATTTTGCTGATTTTTTTATCACGTGGACCTTGGTCGAATTCATTTCAAAATTGTATTTGGCATGTGACGCAACTTTAGTAAACTTCGTCTTAGCACGCGGCGTGTTCTGGTTCTGCTACTGCATCTACGTCACTGAGACGATGCAATCATAGTAATTAAGTGTGTTCGTTAGATATAAAGAAGTTCATAATATATTAATTAGGACCGATTGTTGTTAAGGGGGGGGAGCTATGTCTAGCAGTTGACGTCTTTCGGTTGAGATACTGTATGAGATAAAAAACAAATTTTCATTGTCCGCTATTCGGTCCTTTATTTTACTTCTCTTAACAATCTTACTTATCTTAATAAGTACAATCACCATATTTTCATAACGAAAAAATATATGGTAATTTTGATGTACTACTGAAACAAAAACTTCTTTGAAAATTGTACTTTGTTTATTGGTTTAATAAATTCCTTATTACTATTTTATAATGATGTAATACGTAGAAGACCATTCTAAGTTTTTTTTTGCTGAGAAACTGTTTTACAGTATACAAGCACTATGTAAAATATGATTTTGGTAAATAGAGGAAATAAAACTAGTTTTATGCTTTTTGATAGTTAGCAGAACATATAATTTCAGAGACAAATACGATTGGTTTGGTTATAAAATTGCTAATTGCTGGTATGCTTTGTATTATGCACGGTAAATCGCTAAAATTAAAAAAATATATATATTAACAGTATTGTTCATGTTATGTATTAAAAGCAAAATTTATTAAATAAATATAACTCGGTAAATTAAGAGAAAATAAACGGCTTTATTCGTTTTTATAGAAAAAATCACCTATAAGAAGTCTGTTGCGGCAACAGGCATGTTTAAAATTCACACAACGCAGTCGACGCATGCGAAACCTATTGCCGCTTACATACAGTGGCTGCGGGGTTCGCATTACCCGGTGCAGCACGCGGTCCTTCGCCGTAGGCGCATTTTTAGTCTGAGACCGGTATCGACGGGACCCGCCGCTTTGATTTCCCCCACGCCTATCGCCTGGGCCAGTTTTTCAGTCTGTATAATTTTCTATCCTTCCGAACTATTCTGCTTATGCTAGACGCTTGTGCTTATTGTTTCAGTATAGTGTGTGACAGAACTGTAGCACAAGTAATAAACTTTATTGTTTGTACGAAAAGTGATTTTTTATCGAGAATCCACCTACCGGTACCCACACCTATAAGAGTAAATTCATGACTTGATCTTATCGATGTTCAGTTTTAACTGGAGGTCTTTTTTATTGGTCTATTCAAGTCAATTCAAATGATATAATAATAAAGATATTAGAGGTCTTAACATCGCCATTTGATTCATACATACATACATAAATATACAAACATACACATATAAATTTACACGTCACTTCTGGGCTCACTCCTTTTCTAGCAATATTCTCTTTCATATAGTCCACCCATCTTTTCTTTCATCATCTTCTACTGTTAAATTCGTCAACTTCCATACATAAGGCTTTCTTCCCTACATTCTGCTCATCTCTACGCTTCAAGAAAACCTGTTGCTTCTTAACTTTTCATGCACTGGCGCTTCTTTCATTTTCCTCTAATGCATTCATTCTTCACCTTATCTTTCCTAGTCACACTCTACATTCATCTAAACATTCGTTTATAAGTTACGTGGGGGCTTTCTCATCCATTTGTTTGCTGGCCAACACTCCATTCTCCACTGCAATCTATAGAATGGCATAGATGATAATCATTCTACTAGTTGTTCTAGTTTGATGTCCGAAAATAGTTTTAATTATCTCTTATTTATTCAAACCAAACTTTATAATTATTACATGTTTATCATCATTTTATCATATGGTAATAATGAGTTGAATAAAGGGAGTACCTATATAAATGAGTATTACAAATAATTAATTAATATGTTGTAATTCAAGGTCATTCAATGCCAAACTTATTTATTTATTTTAGGTTTGTACAGTCGTCCATTGGAAAGTTTAGTTGTTTTTTTTTCTTATTGTGTTAATTCCGTTATAATCAAATAAACACGTAAGTTAAAAAAAAACTTAATTTGAAGAAATAAGATTTTTAACTAGTGGTTAGTGACCCTGACTGCTAAGCTGAAGGTCGTGGGTTCGATTCCCACCCAGGACAAATAATTATGTGATGAGCACGATCATTTGTTCTGTGTCTGGGTGTAATTTATCTATATTATGTATGTATTAGTTTAATTTTAATTATGTAGAAATACATAAGTGTTTATCAACAGTCTGGCTGCCATAGCACAGGCTGTGCCTAGTTTGGGATCAGGCGGCCGTGTGTGAGATGTGTAAGATATTATTATTTATTCAATATTAATTTTGATGCATGTCCCATAGATCATCGTTACATCTTCATAATTCAGATATGTCTTATACCTTTGCTTAAATTATAAATAGATATGATGCTTTATAAATAGTACCAATCACAAAAGATTAAAGTACAAATACGTTGTTCTGTAAAAAAAAATAGTAGTAATTCATATCGGTTTTAACGGTAAGTGCCAATAGCAGCAAATACATGCTATTGTATATTTTAATCTCTGACTGTACATAGAGTATTATTGGATTTAATTTAGATAAAGCATTTTCCTCTTAGATTATATTTAAAAAATATAAATAGTGAGTAAAAATATCACAAAAATGTAATGTTGGGGTGGACTTCTTTCTATAATAATTCGCCATGTTCACGATATATTCTTATCTGATTTTGGGTCTTACGAGCTATTGTTTTTGCCTATGTAAGTACTTTTTGTTGTTTTAATATATATTTGCAATGTATCTCTTCTGTGGCGATCAAGGCTTTTTTTTAATACTTATTTTTTTAATAAAATATATAATTGATGAATGGCGATCCTATAGGTATATCAGACTTTTGACTTTGAACTAATTTTCTTACATATATTGAATGAAGAACACCTTCTTAGACTATGAGAAAATATTCCTTATCTACAAATCTTACGTACGTGAAGAATCGTTGTGTTAATCATTCCACATTATAAAACGAATTTTTTGCAAAGAAAAACTTACATTAAATTGTTGAATCGATGAGGTAATGGACGATGACGATGCCAATAACAATTTTCGGCAAACTAAGCTTGTGTAGCTCTTGCTACCAAAATGGCATTATCAAACCGAAATAAAGAGGTGTAGTGTTAAAAAACAAAACCTGAAGAATATTTCGAAAGTACTATTTTCTCGAAACTACTATTGGAGTATAAAAAACACTTGTTGTTCATGAAAGGGCGCCTTGTAACGACTACCTTTAGTAAACTACAATCCTTAACCGTGAAACCGTGAAAAACCCGACGATTTTATGATAACTGTGTATACAAAATGTACTGTTTATTTAAATCCATAAAAAAATACGACATTTTGGCCACAATGCCAGTCTATACAAATAAATAGAATTGGTTTTTTGATGTTTACACGGTTATTTGCACGATACCTATGCCTAAAAACTAGTTTAAATCTATTTTTTTTTTCTGTCCGTCTGTTCTGGGTAATCTTCTAAACGGCTGAACCGATGTTGATAATATTTTATTACTAGGCAGCTATCTATATAAGACGTAACTTAGACTATTTTCCCTCTCAGAAAAACCTTTTAAAAATTTTTCCGGTCCGGGAATCGAACTCACTAAGTCAGTTCTTTTTAAGTTTCACGCGAACGCAGTCGCGGGTACCAGCTAGTTTACAATAAAAGCCTATTTTTAATCAGCTATTCCAGAGAGTCCTAATGTCGGCATCATTGGTGGACACGATATATCTATTGAGGATGTACCGTACATAGCTTCGCTACGGTTGAACGGAACGGTGCACTTCTGTGGATGCTCAATCATACATGAACAGTTTGTTTTGACAGCTGCACACTGCATTGTGCCGTAAGTATTATCCACAAAATAATAGTAAGACAATATAAAGGTTTCGATTTTATATACTTATGTTACGGGTAATGCTAGAAGATTGAGTAAACCTAGGTTTACACGGGTTTACTTAGAATCACCCAAGGTATTTAGGTAGTGTCCGAATAACAATAGAATTATAAATTTTAATTTATAATTTACCCAAATTCACCTACATCTACTTAATGCTGGCTGGCTCATTGCCCAGTTTTAAAACCAAAAATTTCCTGCTTGAAAAGCGTTACAGCGTAAGCTAACACATGAAATAAGACACTAGGTACATTTTCTCGCAACATGTTTTATCATTATAATTCAATGTGATAATAATGCCAGCCTTCTGGGAATGTTATAGTCGCCGTGGATGCGGATAATGTATTCTGCATGTACATATATACATATTTTAACAACATGTTAAAGAAGGAAATTCATAACAAAGCATGTTACTGTTTTGTGTTCTCTTATTAAGATATCCAAAGGTATTCTATTGGCTAAATTCCAACATAATAAATATTTATATTACATACCTAAATAAATGTTTTATATTAAGGTATTTATAGACAGGTCGTAGTTTTAAATCATAGAGATTTTTTGATGGGTTTTAACTTTGTTTTCAACGGACAGAAAGGACAGAAAGCCAAATTGTTCTGCTAAGGACAGAAAGCCAAATTGTGGCCGGATCATCCTCTACGTGAAACGGGACTACCTCGTTTATGAGAGAATTTATTAATTTTAGGCTTACTTCAAATTAATTCCGAGACTCTCCATCATAATATATTTTAAACGCCCATAAATGTACATAGTACATACAATACGTACGTAGTTAAAGTTCCTAACGCCCACTATGAAATAATAAAAGGCTTATAACTATAATAGGTTTAAACACAAGTACAGAATAGGTAACATTCGGTTTTCAATTTTCTCCAAAGGGCTTTCCCTCTTCTGTATTTACGATCATATTACGTCATTCGAAAATATGTTTTATAAGCAACTTTGAACTCTATTTTCAGGAATCGAAAATATAAAGTTCTAGTTGGCACTGACAACGTTAACAAAGGGGGACGTTTGTACGACGTAGAAAAAATATTAAAACACGAATTGTACGTGAATAAAACGTACGACTATGATATTTGCATTCTCAAATTGAATGAGACCTTGACCTTTGGGCCTAAAGTGAATAAAATTGCTTTAAACGACAATAATGTCAAATTGAAAAAAGGAATGATGTTTAATACAACTGGATGGGGATATACTGAGGTAAGTTAAAAAAAAAACTCTTTGCGTAAGTTCTTGTGATTTTATACTCGTATGTAATACAAAAGATGAAAATTTTTAAACTGAATTTTAAATGCAGTTTTATATTAGCCCTATTTAAGCATAAAATAACATTTACACTAAATCTAGTCCAAACTACTAGTATTGTGCGCTATAACAGGTTCTTAAACACTAAATACCTTACTAGCTAAGTGGTTGAGATTGGATTTGTTTGTATTGATAGACATAATTGGACATTTAAAATATAACCGAACTAATAAATCAAGCAAATTCTTATGAAAATAATAAACAAATTTCTCGTATAATAACAAAACTGTTGGCAAAGAAATAAGCCCAAGAATGTAGTTTAATTTATGCTTCACTAATTGCACGACCACAATAGCGCCTTAATTAATGCCTCCGATGCCGGTCGTTACTCTCGTTGTGGCCTATTTCTTATTCATTCATAAGGTAGTATTTACCATGAAACAGAAGTTTCTTGAAATATTGAATTTATTCACCGAAAGATAGGCTAATGCGAAAAGTAAGATTTAGCGATCTCGACCATATAATCATCATTATCAGCCTATCGTAGTCCACTGCTGGACATAGGCCTCTCCTATTGTACGCCACTTCGATCGATTTTTGGCTTTCGATTTGGAATTTTTAAGCAAACGCTTATAAAAAGGAATGTGAAGTTTAGAATATTGCGAGTGTTTATAAAGCTAAAAACTTTAAATCAAATATGAAATAAAGTTGTTCAGTAAATTCTCTAAAACCTATTTCTAAGGAGATGCCTATGTCCAGCAGTGGACTTTTAAAGGCTGATGATGATGATCATCATTTTGGTGAACAATAAAAATAACAAAAGGGCCGAACTGATACAAACTATCTATACCCGTATATGTTTCTTCTTCTTCTTCTTCTTTTATAAAAGACAACTCCCGCATTAGGAAAATATCCTGTGTCGCGGGGGACTTTACAAACATACATGAAACGGACACAAATAACACCCAGACTTGGAACAACAATTTGTGGATCACACAAAGTGTCGTCCCATGTGGGGTTTGAACCCACAACACTCGGCGTAGTAGGAAGCGGCGTGGCGACCGCTTAAACCACTACGCCATCCGTGCAGTCAAAATATTTATAAAGATATTTATAAAAATGTTAAGTTAAATGTAAAAAATATTAATGCTTATACCGTAGTTCTTTTTTCCTGCTTGACTGCACGGTTTGACTGCACGGATGGCGTAGTGGTTTAAGCGGTCGCCACGCCGCTTCCTACTACGCCGAGTGTTGTGGGTTCAAACCCCACATGGGACGACACTTTGTGTGATCCACAAATTGTTGTTCTGAGTCTGGGTGTTCCTTGTGTCCGTTTCATGTATGTTTGTAAAGTCCCCCGCGACACAGGATTTATTCCTAATGCGGGAGTTGTCTTTATTAAAATAAAATAAAATAAATAAATAAAACACTTTTTCACGGTCGATGATATATTTGTTATTATTGTTCTTCTCTAATTCTATTTTGTAAATTTATTGTCGACTTCTCGTCTCGTCTCGAAACTAAGTCTTTAGGCCTTAGGTAATAAATAATCGCAATGTGCCGACGTAGCTCTATACCATTAATCTTCAACACCATGTCTTCTAGCTAAAGCCAAAAGCTTTTTTTTTATTACTGCCAATAATAATAAATTTTCCATATGGGTCTACACATATGTATGTAGACACAGATGAATTCGGTTAATATTATTTTAGCGTTACATTTGTTTTTATTTAAACTTGATTTGGCCTGATGCTGGAATTTTGAGCTTAATTTATTAGGTTTAATTTTTTTGACATACATATTTCAGTGACATATTCGTCAAAATCGACATACTTAAACTGATATTTTATGGTATGGTATATAAGTACCATGATGAAAAAAATAGTATTATGTACAATCCTAGATACGATAAATCCTTTTAAAAAAAATGTTGGACCGACTTCAAATAATACTAACATAGAGCACCAAATATTAAAAAATAACTAAAAAATTTATTTAAAAACTGAAATAAGTGCGACTCTTAATAAAACAAGTAATAAACATTATAATAGCAAAAGATACCTTCTAGTCTGTTTGCAGCTTTGTATTTGCTCCGTGGTTTGAAGTCTCTTTTATGTGTTTCTGAAGTCGGTTAAAAATGCAACTAGTTTAAATGGTTATAGATAATGAGGCTAAAACAATAAGCTTGCTTATTCAAAAATGTAATAGGACACTGTATTCTTGATACAAGTAATGACAAAATTCTTTAACTCTCTGAGATTTTAGCTATTTTCTTAAACGACACAAAGTTCAAGCAAAACCTTTTGTTTCAGTATCATAGTATTTTATGAATAAGTTCTGTGGAAATTATTTAGTAATCTAAGACTTACAAAGCAATTTCGAAGTTTATTTTAATTAAAACTCAATTACTTTTATAAATAAAGATTAGAGCCTCACTGTGAGCCAAGTTCGATGATTAGAAAGCTTGAGACGGTGGTATAAATGATGCCGATCGGGGACAAAAAGCTTCATTAAATCTGCCAGTGAAACATGAAAGACGATAATAATGTATCGTGTTCCGGATTTTTATTATCTAAACGAATTATGGGTTTTTGGTCGTTAGCCAAAAAAATAAACAATGTAACGTGGTAGTATACAGTTACCTTTATTAGTCGCCATAAATCAATAATCTCGTTATTTGGGACAATATGATGATTCAGCATCTTCTAGTAGAAAAACACGGCGCTATACCGTGTTTTTAGAAGACGCTGTTTTAATGTTTTAAAACTAAAATCTACGATGTCATTATCAATATCGCAACAGGGATTTCAAATAAATTTCCATAAATACCTTTATCACTTCTATTTAACAATCCCAACTTATCATCATCTGCCTACCCTTATCCCAGTTTTATTTGGGGTCGGGGCAGTAAGTATGATTCTTCCATTCTACTCTATCATGAGTCATTTCACTGTTTACTCTCTACCTAGCCATATCAACACTCACACAGTCCATCCACCTTTTCTTTGACCGAAGACCTTCTTCTCTTGTACCCTTCAACTTTCTTTCCTCATCCCTTCGCATGGCATGTCTATACCAAGATAACCTATTACTTCTTAACTTTTCATGGATGGAGTAGCGGATTTCACTGGAGTGGCGCTTACTTTCAGACTCCCTCGTATATACTCATTACTAACCTTGTCCATCCGAGTCACACCACACATCCATCTCAGCATTCGCATTTCAGCTACGTTCAGGCGTCTCTCATCCGTTCTCTTAATGGACCAACTTTCAGAACCATGCAGGACGGCAGGTCTGATGATGGTTTTATAAAATTGTCCCTTCTGTGTTAAGGGGCACAATCCCAACTTAACTTAATCTTTATAAATAATCTCATTATTACAAAAGAAATAAACTCTAAAATACTAATTATAGTAACTGTTCGATTAATGATAATTGTTGATTCTTTAAGCTAAAACTTAGTTAAGTTACTTTAACCTAAACCACATTTAATTGTTTTATAATTCTTTTGCAGCCCAATGGAAATATATCTGAAAGTGTACGTCAAGTAAAACTACCCTTGGTGCGTTGGAAGAGTTGCCGAATGTCCTACGGCAGAATGTTGAAACCAATTACTGTCAGAATGATTTGCGCTGGTGGTAACGGAAGGGATTCTTGTCAGGTTATTTTAATCTTTTACATAATTCATTCAAAAAACTTGCAGTTCACAGTTCTGTTTTCATCAAGTATAATAGACATGGTTGTAATTATAAACATTTGTCCCTGTGGTGACAGATTAAGAATACGGAGTGTCACAGTGTATAGTAGGCCAAAACCTCCTTTCTAAAGAGAGGCTTATGTCTAGCAGTGGGCTATTAAGCTGAAGAAGGATACGAGAATAAGACATTTGTATGGATGTGAGGAGATCATCCGTGGGAGGCTTCAGCACACATGGGCCAGCTCTATGGAAGTGATATCGCGGCCTCACAGAAGAAGGTGTATGGAGCTGCAAGTATACAGGAGAAGGTGTATGGAAGGCAGTAGTTACTTACCATCAGATGGCTTTCTACCCCCCCCCCCCCCTATATTATATGATTTTATATAAAATATATATATCTATATTATAAAATATAATGAGTTTAGTAGGTATCACTTGTAGTCCGTGACCCGATCATTTCATTTAATTAATGTCGAGGTTTTATAAATATGTTGTTCTATTTTAGGGTGATAGCGGAGGACCTTTGACGTGGAATGGTGTTCAAGTGGGTATTACATCTTTTGGTGCAGGCTGTGCTGTTTTACCAGGAGTTTACACTAATGTTTCTAAAATGTTACCTTGGATCAACGATACCATCAAAAATAATCTTTGATCTCAATATTAACCGCAATATATCACGGTATTCGAAAGCCTAAACCATGTTATAATTTGTTCCAATTATCACTCAGAATAAATATTGGACCAGGAATACTGAGATTATTTATATTAATAGCTGACAAGCCTTTTTATTTAAAATATTTGCTTAAATTAAGCTAGAAGCCTAAAAGAAACCAACGAAACTCGAATCCCTTTTCAACAGTCTTAAAAATTGGGATTTGGCGTGCACATTGGTATTTGTTATTGCTATTTACCTTATGCAACCTAACAATAGCTACGAAAATTCTATAGAGCAATACGCGGTTGATATTTTTTTGTGGCGGGATGGGTGTCATGCCCCTCCAACACATAGGGAGGATCCTCCGACCAGGCGATATTGGGAAGTTGTACATATTCTAATCGGCGTGAGAGTTATTCATATCGTAGTTCGGTTTGTCTTCGTTAGATGGCGCTGCAGTATATTTCTTTGTTAAACTGTTTGTGGAATATTATCTTCTCGGTCATGGACCAAAAGACCTATCTGGGTGCTTTGACAAAAGTGTCTGCTTTTCAGGTTCTATGCACTGCTTCCTCGCATAATTAATGTTTAGGCCCAATTAAGGTTTATATCAGTTTACGGTCCGTAAAGTATCCAAAACCAACGTATTGGGTCTTAGATACTTTCAAACATTGATGACTTGATAGTTCTTTATTTTATATTATTTTGAAGAAAAAACAGAAAAACCTAAGAAATCGAAAATTGCACACACATTGTTAATATGATTTTCGTGTTGTCTTTCTATAATAATAATAATCATTTATTTGCATGAATATGATTACAAGGTTTGACAATTTCTATGAACAATAGTTTAAAGTACGTCATATTCTACCTGGTAGGCGTGCAAAACTTTTCGTCAGAGCTGATACCTACCGAACATGCAATAACAATCAGATTTATTGTTCAAATATCAGGGAATTATAATAACAAATTTTTTGTGGTTATATAAAGATATTAAATTATAGACAGTCTGGCAATGACAGTGTCATCAAAGTTATTATCACGGTCATTCATTCTCTCTAGAGTGATGATATTTTCACCGGCAAATAACGACTAATAAATTACTGTTGTTACGATTATTATTAATCTCTACTCTCGTTATTTCAAAACGTTATGTTTAAGTCAGCTTTTCAAACACTATTTACTTATAATATTGACTTTCCAAAATAGAATGCGTCGACAGTATTCACTGTATCGCAAAATACACTGCATTGACAGAAAATTTAAAATGTTTTATTGCTCTCTTTAAACTTAACAAACCCTAAACGAGCTTGTTTTCTATTTACTCGACAAATATTTGAACGCTGTGCTGTAAAAATGTAAAAAGTGAGAAATGTTTGTGAGTTCGAGGAAACAACATAATATAGAAAGGTATTTATTTAATTTGGTTAAAATAAATGGTATTAAAGTTTACACAAAAAACCACTTTAAATGAGTCGGTTTGAATAAATAGACTACAAGTTTTATTACAAATACATAGATTTATTTATGGATTAAACCTCAATTACTTAAAAAGAAGTACCTACGTTTAATCCATAACAATGCCATGATTTTGCTAAGTCGCGAGCACCACGCTAATCCAGGTTCTTACTAAATGGATAATTCAAGTTACCATCCATAACTGAGATTGACAACATTAGCTACTAGTAGTACAGTACCTTGACATTACTGTACATATCCCGTTGACATTAAAAGTAACATAAAAAGGGGACCCCTCCGTGCCTCGGAGAACACGTTAAGCCCTCGATTCCGGTTGCCACATGTAATTTTTAGCAATCGTTACGGTTAGTTGGAGCCCTAAAAAGTCTGACGAATCTTTCTACAGAACTTCGATATCGCCTAGTACTTGGGTTGTGGAGATCTGGCAGTAGCTTCACGTAAACTGTCGAAGTTCAGCCGTATCGTAGTAGACTTAAAATCGAACCCAACTTCGTTTGGGAAAACCTTAACAATCCGGGATATACATTTATAGACAAGAAGAACTTTTTTACCTCAGGGAAGCTATTAGTTTGATGGGCCTGCAAAAGTCGCGGCTCAAGTTGGTGGTTCTACGAAGCAATCCAACATTGGTTCAATAATCTAATTATCTGTTTTTAAACAAAACCACGAAATTTAAATAATAATAAATAGTTAAAGATGTTTATTTATTGCTTCTGTACAATAGATACATTTTTAAGGTGTACTTTAACATTTAGACAAAGCATTTAAAACTGAACAAAGAATTTAAATGGCAAACAGTACTTAACCTGAAATATTGTACACAATACAGTAAATAGCCCTCGTAATCATTCGCAATAGTCAGTTAAGAGACGTGAGCAGAATTCTTAAGGTTTTTGAAGCTAAGTTGGCAGTACACGCACGTATTTTTATCTTAAGCATTCATATTTATAAAGCTAAGAAATCCTCGTGTCAACAGACAACTGAAAATCCTTATAAGTGATACATATTAAAAACAGAAGCGGTTAATGTGGATGGTCAAAAGTTATTGAATCTCAAAAAAACGTGTTTGCTTGTAAAGATTCATTCAAGGAACAATTTCAGTAAATTTGATTTATTGATCTCGTGTAACTAAATAATTAGGCGTTACGTGTGGCGTTACGATGAAAATTAATTGTTAAACAGTAATTAAGGGAAGTTTCCCTCTCATTCATTCTTATTATATGAAATCCGATTATGAAAACAACCGAAGAAAGAATACCTGGGCCTAAATTCGGCTATTTTATATAAACGTACAAGCCACTGTCATTCTATGGACACGCTATTGAGATGCCATTGACATCGGCCAAAATATCGGTATTCCACTAACATAAATTCACAGTGTCAATAGACTATTGATGTATTGACAATGACTCATTAATGGTGATATCAACAACCTTGCCTTATTTAGAAAATAAATAAATCTTTGCCTTACAAATTCAAAATGTACCGTTTACAAAACCATTACAAAGACATTGCTGTACTTTGTATCAATGGCAGTTCGGTGACTAGTCATCGGGACAAGTTTATTCAATACGAAAGGTACAAAACTATTCCGACGACAGTCCATCGACAGTCTATTGATACTATATTAAAGTAGCAATATTGAGGCCTAGGCCGTCTGCCTGATACATCCGGTTGGTACCAGCTGTCTTTACCAAGTAGGTAGTTATTTTAATCCAACAGCTATATTTTCTTTTTCTTTTTTATGATTCTTCCAACTGAAGCAATAGCGCGTACATGGTGCCAATCAGTCTTTTTATTATATATTTCCTTATTCTTGTGTAAACGTTTTAGTTCATGTAAGTACATGTAAATTTTTATGTTTACTCTGTATTTTATATATTTATGATACGGTTTATTTATTGTTTTCACTGATTTAGATGTTTGAATATTTTTATATATTTTGTCCCAAATGTTTCGAATAAAGTTTATCTTTAGGTACTTATATAATAAAAGCAAATAGATTTTTGTTTTTGGTTGAACAGTTTCAAATTTATTATAACTGATATAAAACTAAAAAACAATCTTGATGTTGTGGCAAGTTATTTAGCACCATGCTTCGATTCTTCTTACTTGAGAGTATCTTAATCGGCTAGTTTTATTAGGATCATAAATTTATTGAAATATTGCATTACCTAAAGAATATGCTTGCTTACCTTATTTTTAATAGTATTAGAATATCTTCTAACAATTTTTTGTATAAATTGTTCTAAAACTTCAGGCTGAATAAGTAACGATTTCTGATACCTATTATTATTCATGAGATTTATAAATACGGCGTCATTTGTAGTAACATTTTAAATAAGCATTAAGATTAAGGGTAATTAAAATAAGAGCTTCAGAAAGAGAATACCAAAGTAAAATATGTTTTAATGAACTAAAAGTGTAACTCAAACATAGCAAACATCGGCATGTTTTTTATTCACATAAAAATGGGATAAAAAATGGTAAAAAAGTGAATGGAATACTCCAAACCTAAAATACTCTATAAATCTTATTTTATATATTCGGTAGTGACACCAATCATTGTTCTATAATATTCAGAAAAACCTTTCTGATATAATATATTCACGTAAAATTCGCATTACACGAGTGCCTATTATTTTGATGTAATATTTACATAAGGGTTCCCACAAAATATTCTTTAAGGTACCAGGTGTTCTATAAGGCAATCCGGCTCACTGAGTTATGCTTCACCCCACTTCATTCGCGTTTTCTTCAGACTTTATTAAAAATTTACATGATCCAAAATTTGTCGAAGGATATTACAACTTAGTAAATTTATGCAAAGCTCACTACTCATTTTGTTAAGTAAAAGTATTTCTAAAGTATATCGTTAAGAATTAAGATATGCCAAGTAGGTCCTGTACTGTGGTCCTTCGTATGTGAAACAGTTTATTGACGCAACTAAAGTTGTATCGAATGCGTTGACGGAGTCAAATAACACTGGCATACTGTCTTTTTGAACATGGCCTTCAGCGTCAATTCTACTACTACAAAGATAGTAAATTTGCTATCAGACAAATCGACTGCATGGATGGCGTAGTGGATTAAGCGGTCGCCACGCCGCTTACTACTGCGCTGAGGTTTTGGGTTCGATCCACAGATGGGACACCACTTTAAGTGATCCACAAATTGTTGTTCTGAATCTGGTTGTTCTTTGCGTCCGTTTCATGGATGTTTGTAAAGTCCCCTGCGACACAGGATATATATTCTAAATGCGGGAGTTGTCTTTCCAAAACAAAAATAAAATCGGTACCGACTGCGTTTATACGGTAGACGATGCCTCTCAAAAAAATTATCCGCCTCATACAGCAGCACTAATGTTCCGCAGGCTGTGACTTAATCGACAGACTGCTTGCTTTGTCAAAAGTCAAACTAAGCAATCATAATTATAAAAGCCAGCATAAATGGAATCCTATTTTATAAGATATTTACAAGCATTTACGGTAACACTCAGTACAAATAGAAATCTCGTA